AAGCCTGGACGGCTTCACTTGGGGCCGGGAGGTCGTTATGGCCCTTTGCCTTACCCTTGGTGCTAGTTGTTTACGCGTTGGCAGTAACCGTCATGCCTTTAGCGGTGCTGGTCTTCCGAACTCTCCGATGTATGCGCTTCGTTTTGCATTCAACTAATGTATAAATTTATTTCACTGCGCAGGCTCATATATTAGTCGATTATTGTCGGACCTTCTCACACTCACCGTTGATCTCCGGGCAAAGTCTACCCTTCGCACATACGAACCCTATTGGCGACAGTTTCGAGCCTTCTGTTTGGCGCACTCACTTCCCTTCCTTCCCGCCACCGACCTGACAGCGGCCCTCTTTCTGCTGCACTCGGTCCGTCGTAGCGCTACCGTCTCAGCTGTGCGCACTGCGTGTTCCGCCATATCCTGCGCCCATTGGCTGGTCGGCCACCCCTCCCCGATTCGCGGCCCCTTTTCTTCACAAGTCAAGGATTATGCTATGCGTCATTGTGGCAAGCCATCTCAAGCTAAGGAGCCCATTCCTCCAACCAAGATTTACGATATCTGTGACATCTACTTCTCATCGCATGATCCGGCCACATTCCAGCGGGGCCTTATTCCCCTCCTCATGTTCGCAGCCTTCCTTCGTTTCTCTGATCTCGTCTCCCTCTAGTGGCACCAGATCGAGTTCGATCGGGACTGCATGTGGTTGTTCATCCCCCGTTCGAAGACCGACCAAGCTGGCACCGGTGTTTGGGTCCCAGTGGCTGCTTCTTCTGCCCGCCACTGTCTAGTGTCGCGTGTCCAACAATTCCTCTTCCTGGCTGGCTATTCTCCGCGGACCCTTGCCCCCTTATTCGTATATTTCAGCCAGGGGCCCGAGCTTCCCCCTCAGATCGCTCTCCCTCGTATGCCGCCATTCGGGGTTGGTGTCAAGATGCTTTCTCCCGTGTCGGCCTCAACCCGGCCCTCCTGGGCACCCATTCTTTCCGCAAGGCGGCTGCGACGGTCGCCGTTGATGTTGGAGTCCCCGACCGGCTTTTCAAGGCCCTCGGCCGCAGGCGAAGTGATACAGCCAAGGAGCTTTACATTACTCAGCTTGACCGCGAGCTAGTGGCTGCTTCTCGCACGCTACAAGATCCTACTCGCTCGAGCGCGACCGATCGGTACCAGGTCACCCTCGAGCGCCACCGCCGACGACCTTCCACTTGATGTCTCGTTTGACCTATGACGACTGCACTGCACACTCCTCTGAGGTCGTGTCACAATATGAGAAATTTTTTTGTAATAAAAAATTTACAGATTGTGATTCGACTATAAGAGGAGCTTGCTGTAAAGGAGACAAACTCCTTCATCTATCGGCAGGTCTTTCAGACCTACCACCTAGTCTCATTTGCATTTTTCTGTTCCAACTTGCCCACCCTTCCCTCCCATGCTTTGATACAGCGACGGAAAGTATTGTCCACATGTTTGTGACTTAGAGGAATTTTGCCATTTTAGAGGGTCATGGACATTAAGCCTTAATCTTCTGGTGTGCCTAGTGTATGTAGGTTGGGGTAAGGCTCCACGCCCATGCCTTACATCACACAAGTATAATAATGTTTACAGCAAATACTAGAAAATAACAATCTTGGTACATGTGGACAATTATTGCCAGGCGCAAGCAGCAAGTTACATCAACCCCAAACTAGTACCTAATCCACCGCCCTTTCGCCTTAGACACCGCCCTCACCCTCCTGGGCATGCTTTCCACCAGGTGGGTGCACACATCTGCCGGGATCTTCTCCCATTTCTCCTGCACCCGCTCCCAAAGGTCCAGCATACTAGTGGGAGGCTTTTAAGGCTTGGCCAGCTGCCTCTTGAGATGAGCCCATAAATGCTCCATTCGGTTGAGGTCGGGTGAGGAAGACGACCACTCTAGCACCCCTGAATGTTACTCTCAAAGCCACTCCTGTACGATACGCGACTTGTGCTTCGGGTCATTGTCATGCTGGAAGATATTTTTTGAGGGTGTAAGCTGGTAAAGCTCAATCGTACTGTTGAGATCGTCCTGCAGTATACTCAGCGAGAGCAGTCGGTCCACCCTACCATATGTTTTGCTCATGAAACCCGCTCCCTTCTACGACATGCAGTCGTAAATTATCAAGCAACCGCCCCCGTGTTTGACGGTCTGCTTGATTTGGTGTCTTTGGAGGGCAGTCCCTTCGTGAACGCAGGTGTATGAGAGTCAGTCGGATGCAAGACGATCGATCTTGGTCTCATCCGCACAGAAAACTCGCTTCTAGTCGTCAACCGTCCAGTCTGCGTGGGCACGCGCCCATTCCAGCTTATCGCGTATGTTTTTCCGAGAGTGTCGCGGCTTCTTGGGATGCTTGATTGCGACAAGTCGGCTCCCATTATAAGCGTTACGCAAGGTCTTAGGATGCAACGTGATGCCGTGCTGCTTCTCAACGATTTTCGCCACGTGAGCGGAGATTTCGGCCTCCTCGAGGGTAATCGACCGAACTATGCCGCGGCGAACTCTCTCTGTCACTAAGCGAGGGCGACCGGCTGAGGGCATCGTAGGACGCACGTCATCGCGGCTAGACTCTACAATCACCTTGATGGGCCGAACTCTTCCCTATGGCTAGCTGTTTAGCGATTCAACGATTGCTCTACCCCCTCCGCAACAAGGGAATGATCTATGCGTAGAGCGCCTCATCTAACGGTTTCATGACGGCCTAATCATCGCAGCGGTCCTAGCCTATCTCCTGACTACTCGATAGTCGCGAGGGCAAATAAGAACAAATAGCGAGGTTAGGAAATAGATCTACTACGCTGCTTGGCCTAAACTGTCCGGATGCACCCACGTGGACGAAATCTCGTCCTCGGTAAAAAATCGACCCCTATAAAACTGAAACCAGCATCCGTCACATACAGTACAGTACTACTTTACATCCAACCCCGAAATTTGATTCGTAACTAAACAAAGAAGGCACCAAACCAGTACGAGAAGTGTTTTAAGGCAATTATCCGGGCAATACTTTCCGTCGCTGTAACTAGCATGGCCTGCTCACCCTTGTTCCCTTGCCATGTATTTGCCATATCTAGTGTGCTGTATTATGGAGCTATGATATGCTATGACGACTGCACTGCACACTCCTCTGAGGTCGTGTCACAATTGAACGCCCATGGGTGACTTGAGCGGACATGGGTGCTTAATTAAAGTGGATGTACATAGCACCCGTCTTTTTTGCCTGCAAATTTTTTAACACCCCCCCCAAACTTTTTCGACCACTGCTGCTGTGCCATCACCTGAGCACGAGAGCTAGTGGGAAACTTATCGAGGAACCTACCATATACAGCACGGTTCAAGAGGTGTGACACAGAAAAAATCGAGACCCATTTTGACTGCCCGAACAAGTGGGTCCCTTGAATCCTCGTAACTCAATGTTCGCTACTTGACTTTCGGGTCGCGCTCGCCTTCCCGCCAAGAAAATCGTGCCATCCCTCCTACGGATTGGCTGTTTGGTGTTTCACCACTTCCGTACGCGATGTCGAGGGGAAAAACAAAATACAGCAGAGTACGACAGTGCACTTTGTTTAGGAAAAACAATATCACATACGCATGTTCCACAACACCCGGGCGTTATACAAAATTAGCCACTAATTACACCCCCCTCAAAATTTAGAGGCATTTTGGTTACCACCCTAGGGTGCTTTATACGGGGGAATACGGTATATTTTGTTAAAAGGCTAGCTTAGCTAGGAAGCTAGGAAAGGCATGAGGTTTAGCTAGGAGGAGCCATGGAGTGGCGTGAGGTTTAGGAAGGAGAAAAGTCGAGGAGAGAAAAGGGAGTTGGAATAGAAAGAGAGAGGCATACAAGGAGGGGATTGTACCCTCTACACTAAAGTTCGGTAACCTACCAAGCCTAACAATTATATAACTCAGTATATAATTTTAACACACCCCCTAGGCTTGGTAGTCACAAGCCCACACACACCCCCACGCCCCCTAACCTAGCACCCCTATTCCCATCAGCCACAACGACTCCAACAGGGCCCACAAGGCCTTGGAGATGGCGACGGCGGCAGTCCCGGCCGCGGCGACAGCGACGGCGACGACGGGCGTGCGGCGGCGAAAGGCCTGCGGCGACGACACCGGCGACGGCGACGGCTTCGGCTTACGACGGCGGTGCATGCAGCGGCCCCCGTCCTTCCGGCGGCGTGTCCAAACTCCGCGACAGGGGGACGACCGGCGAGAGTCAGGCAGCGGCTGTGGCGAAGAGGAGGGGACAGAGGAAAGGGGGAAGGGGCGGGGCTTCGGATCTTCAGCTCGGCGCCACAGGCGTCGCGCGGCCGGCTGGCGTGCGGGTGGGCAGTTTAGCGGTGCCACAGGCGTCGCACGGCAGGTTGCAGCCCGACGCCGCCGTCACAGAGCGGCGTCGACGCTGCTGCGGGACGTCGACGCTACGACGGCAGCACGACGGCCTGACGCCACGGCAGCGCGTCGAGACGGCAGCGGCACGACGCGGCCAGCGGCATCACGACGCCGCCACTGCAGCACAACGCGGCCGCCATGGCTGCACGAGCGAACGAGGGCAAGGAGTACGCGGCGGAAGCGTGAGGAGGCGGTCCAGCAGGGAGGAACTACTGCTCTGATACTTTGTTAAAAGGCTAGCTTAGCTAGGAAGCTAGGAAAGGCATGAGGTTTAGCTAGGAGGAGCCATGGAGTGGCGTGAGGTTTAGGAAGGAGAAAAGTTGAGGAGAGAAAAGGGAGTTGGAATAGAAAGAGAGCGGCATACAAGGATGGGATTGTACCCTCTACAGTAAAGTTCGGTAACTACCAAGCCTAACAATTATATAACTCAGTATATAATTTTAACATATTTCACCCATGCTTGACCGGGGAATTCACGCACGAAATCTTCGCAAAAGGCACTCAACGGGCACAAAAACGAGAGGCACTTGCGCGCCACGTTTGTTTTGTGGCTCTGGTCGCGGGGGGTGTACACGTAGGATCGTGCGGGGCTGGCAGTGGCGTCGCCGAAACTAGCAGGTGACAGATTTACAGGATTGCTGAACTGCTGGTTGTAAACAGCAGGTTCAGAAACATTGTTGATTCTGATCCTACTTTGTAGGAATGCGCCCTTAGATCTAGATGGCATTTATATACATCATACCAGCCATTCCAACCGGCCTTATCCCACTTTCACCAACACTAGCCTTCGTTGCTACGGAAGAACACACAGTAATGAACAGCATTTGCTGCTGTTCTCCCTGATACTCCACTCAGGCCAAGTAGTAACACACATTATCAGGTTATGATGACTCCTTTCGCCTCCAAATTGTTCTGCCCTTGTTGATCTCCTTCTTGCTCTCCTGTGCTCGCAACAGGTGCAGGAACTGCTGCATTTGTCCCTCCTTGTCTGCTTCACTGACAAACCTACCACTGCTTCTCCTCCCATCCACTCCCTTGCCCACCAGCACAGGAGCACCATTCCCACTAGCACCACCAGCAGAAGCAGCGTCGGCAGCAGCAACAGATGCCGCCCTCACAGCCCCATTCCCCTCAGGTGAAACCTCAGGTGAAAGCTCAGGTGAAACCATCTCCTTGGCGAGAGTTTCCACGACGTCATCCTGACTGCACTCCTGGCGATACTCGATCGTGATATCGGCTAGCTCTGAGGACTCCAGGAGGGTCTGGGGAAGACTCTGGGGAGAGGGGGAGGGGGAGGGGGAGGGGGAGGGGGAGGAGGGGGGGAGGAGGACAGATACGGAGAGAGGACAGAGAAACATATATACAAGAGAACGGGGTAAGGAACGGAAGGCAGGGCGCTTCAACCACGTCGTCTTGGCTGCACTCCTGCCAATACTGGATTGTGATTTTGGCTAGCTTTGAGGACGCAAGAAGGGTCTTGGGAAGACTCCGGAGGGGAGAAGCGAGATGGAGGAAGAGGGGAAGGCTGTAAGTCAGCGAAGAAATCGAGAGAGCAAGGGTGCTTCCACCACGTCATCCAGACTACTCTCCTGCCGATACTCAATTGTGGTTTCAGCGAGCTCTGAGGACTCCAGGAGGGTCTGGGGAAGACTCTGGAGAGAGGGGGAAGGGGGGAGGGGGGGGGACAGATACAGATAGAGGACATAGAAACACGTATACAAGAGAACGAGGTAGCGGAATGAAGGGCCGGGTGCTTCAACCACACCATCCTGGCTGCACTCGTGCCGGTACTTAAGTGTGATTTCCGGTAGGTCCAAGGAATCCAGGAGGGTATGGAGAAGACTCTGGAGGGAATGAGGAAGACAGAGGAAATTAGGGCATTTCAAGACTAAATAAGAGAACAGGAAATATGATGTATCTTATCTTAACCCCACTGCGGGGAAAAGCACGAAACAGTGGGCAGCCATGAAGACATGCCCACAGTGCGTATTTGAGACGCAGGTGCATACATTCCAAGGCAATCCGGATGCTGAAACAAGTTGATTTTTTTGTTGGAAACAAGCTGAAGCAAGTTGAAGAGAACGCATTTGGAGCATCTTGAGACGATACTCGAGGTGCCAAAAAAATCGCCTCAAGAATTGAGCCACATAAACACCATTCTGGATACCGAATCAAGGCTAAAGAGAACGCACCTCGAGCATCCATGCGATGTAGGTAACGTTGTTGACGTGATGGTTCATATCCAGGTCGCTGCGCCGGGGCTGGGAAAGGGCACAGGGGAAAGGAGACAAGGGAGAGGGCGAAGGGAAAGGGCAAAGGGGATTGTGCAAGGGGGGAGCAAGTGGAGAGAGGAGCAAAGAAGTTACCACTTGTAAGTAACGTTGTTGACGTGGTGGTTCATATCCAGGTCGCTGCGCCGGGGCTGCACGGCAGTCGAGCAAGGGGAAGGGTGGCAAAGGAGGAGAGTTGAGGTGGATCAAGTCGAAGACCAGACCAGCTCCGACCATGCCGCTGAGGACGTGGTGGTTCATGCCCTGGTCACTGCGGCTGGGGCTGCACGGCAGTCGAGCAAGGGGGAGGGAGGCAAAGGAGGGAAGTTTAGGGGTTTAAGTCCAACCCCAACCATGCAGCTGACGTGGTGGTTCATGCCCAGGTTGCTGCGGCTGGGGCTGCACGGCAGTCGAGCAAGGGGAAGGGCAGGCAAGGGAGGGGAAGGGAAGGCAAGGGAGGGGAAGGGCAGGCAAGGGAGGGGAAGGGCAGGCAAGGGAGGGGAAGGGCAGGCAAGGGAGGGGAAGGGCAGGCAAGGGAGGGGAAGGGCAGGCAAGGGAGGGGAAGGGCAGGCAAGGGAGGGGAAGGGCAGGCAAGGGAGGGGAAGGGCAGGCAATGGAGGGGAAGGGCAGGCAAGGGAGGGAAGTTAAAGGAAAAGGCCAACCCAGTCCTAGCTGCTGAGGACATGGTGGTTCATCTCCAGGTCGCTGCGCCGGGGCTAGTTTTGAGACGTCTCAAAACCAACCTTATATCACAGGGATGCACGGCACTCGAGCAAGGGGAAGGGCAGGCAAGCAAGGGGGAGGGCAGGCAAAAGAGGGAAGGAGGAGGTGGTTTCACTATAGAGAGGTGTACACTAAGACAAGAGCAGCGGACCTGTCTGGGGGTTGTATGGATTTGACCAACAGCTTATAGGCTGGCGTGCAAGAAACAGGTAAAGCACATCGATCAGCGGTGGTTGCCTTTGTGGTGACTATATTGCGGCGCCTAAGAAAACGGACCGACACGGATTGAACTGACTTACACGAAGGTAGGACCGAACGTGATCAGCTGGCTCGTCCAGCTTGGGGATCTTGGTGAGAGTGTTCTTTGGAATGGAGAACCTGAGAGGGTGCAGGAGAGCAGAAGGATAGGGTTAGGTAGGATACAAGGAAGAGGGTTAGCACTAGACGTGATCAGCTGGCTCGTCCAGCTTGGGGATCTTGGTAAGGGTGTTCTTTGGAATGGAGAACCTGGGAGGGAGGAGAGGAGCAAACGGGAGGAGAGAGGAACGGACGGAGCAGTAAAGACCCATGGAGGAGGAATGGCATGGTCAGCTGGTACCAATGGTCGTGATCAGCTGGCTCGTCCAGCTTGGGGATGTTGGTTACCGTGTTCTTTGGAATGGAGAACCTGAGAGGGTGCAGGAGAGGAACAAATGGGCTGAGAGAGGAAGAGACGGATGGGTAAGGACCCATGGAGGAGGGTGGCAGTAAACGTGGTGAGCTGGCTCGTCCAGCTTAGGGATCTTAGTGAGAGTGTTCTTTGGGATGGAGAACCTGGGAGGGGATGGGGAGGGGAACAGTAGGATGCCAAAGGAGGCATGGAGGAGGGTGGCAGTGAACGTGGTGAGCTGGCTCGTCCAGCTTGGGGATCTTGGTAACATTGTTCTTTGGAATGGAGAACCTGAGAGGGTGCCAGCAACAGAGAGGAGTGACAGGGGCGAGGGGGAAAGGAGGGTGTGAGCGGTAGGGTAGAACATCGGAAGCTGGGTTAATTGGATAAAAAACCTGATAACGATCCAACTCCGGAAACTTTTGGAGCAGGAGAGGAAGGAAGCTTGCCAGGCAAATCCCCACGCTACATCGCCCAACATACTCGATATAAGCTCACCTCTCAGGGCTAGGGCAGTGCACTATGAGCTCGGCCCGGACGTCGCTCGGCACCTTGGAGAGTCTCCTGGTGTCGCGGTTCATCATGGCCCATGAGCTGGTGGGAGGGGGGGGGGGTGTGGGGGAGACAGTGAGAGCAAGGGGAGGCGTGTGGGGGAAGGGGATACGAATAGACGTCACTGGGCAACCTTGGAGAGCCGCCTGGTATCGCGGCTCACCATGGCCCATGAGCTGGTGGGAGAGTCGAGGGTGGGAAAGAGGGGAGGGGAGGGGAGGGGACGGGGGGGAGGTGAGAAGAGTGAAGAAGGGGAGACAGAGGTGTGTTCGCAGGTGGGGCAGTGCACGACGAGCTCGGCGGGGACGACACTGGGGGCTTTAGAGGGCCTCCTGCTATCGCGGTTCATCATGGCCCATGAGCTGGTGGGAGACGGGGGAGAGGGGGGAGGGAAGGGGGAGGAAGGCTACATGAGACCATGTGGAGAATTAGCAGAAGCTGCTGGAGAGCCTCCTGGTATCGCGTTTCATCATGGCCCATGAGCTGGTGGGAGAGTTAAAGGAAGTTTGAGAACAGGGGAAGGGGGAGGGGGAGGGGGAGGGAGAGGGGGAGGGAGAGGGGGAGGGAGGTGGGGGGGAGAGGGGGAGGGAGAGGCCCCTTGATGGTTACCGAGTACAACCGCATAATTCAGAACACAGAATCCACAGAATCCACAGAATCCACAGAATCTTATGGTGATCATGATCCACATGATCCACATAATCCACGAGGACCCACCTGGTGCCTCACCCAATGACCTCCCCCGTGAGGCCAAACCGGATAACCCTCCACCTGGCTCCGTCTGCAGTTACCAGGTCACCAAGGGTTACCACGTAACCCATCATATCCCAAGCCACGGGCACGAGCGCCCACCTGGTGCCTCGGCCAATGACCTCCCCCGTGTGGCCGAACCGGATGATCCACCCGACTGCAACTGGTGGTTACCAGGTTACTAAAGGTCATATCAAGTGGCGCCTCAGACGCCAAACCATCAGCCCCGAGCGCCCATCCTGTGCCTCGGTAAATGACCTCCCCGGTGTGGCCGAACTAGATGATCCAATCGCAGCGTGACACGATGGATACCAGGCCGCCTTGTGGTAACCAGCCCCCCTGATCGTTACCAAGCCCCACCTGGTGCCTCGGCCAATGACCTCCCCGGTGTGGCCGAACCGGATGATCCAATCCCGGCGCGACATGATGGTGCCGTCCTGGAACCACGTGTCAATCTCCACCACGTCGCCCCTGGAAGAGCGGGGGGGAGGAAATAACCAATCAAGAGAGAGGATCACATCAAACCAACAGGAGGAGATGGTGCCTGTGCTGCAAGGAGCAGAGCACACGATGGTGCCGTCCTGAAACCACGTGTCTATCTCCACCACGTCGCCCCTGGAGAAGGGGGGAAGGGTGACACCGAATCAAGACGGAGATTTCACGGGGTATTTACCGCGTGTACCCCAAGAAACAGACAATATGATGGTGCCGTCCTGGAACCACGTGTCTATCTCCACCACGTCGCCCCTGGAAGAGCGGGGAGGAGGAAATAACCAATCAAGAGAGAGGATCACATCAAGTCAACACGGGGAGATGGTGTCTGTACTGCAAGGAGCAGAGCACACGATGGTGCCATCCTGTGTCTATCTCCACCACGTCGCCCCTGGCCACGTGGAAGGGAGGCACGACCACCAATCAGCGCGGAGGAGGTCAGAAACAAGTCCAAAAATCGGGGCGAGGTGAAAAGAGCACCACGTGTACGTCGATCGAGGCTGGGAAGAGGATGGTTCAGCATACCATTTAGGGTACTTGTACATCTCGATGTGCATGCGAGTGGTAACCCAGATCAGGCGATTCGCGAGCATCGCAGGCGTGGTGGCGAAACCGTCGTTGGAGAACCCCACGCTCTGTGCGTGGTTGCATCCTATCTCCTGCGAAGACGAAAAAAACCCATAGGGTAACACGGTCTACCAAGGGTTAGGGGTGGAAAGACACGGAATCAGAGAAGCTAGGAGAGGGGTGCGGAGAGGGAACCGTAGATTAACTACGTACCTGGAGGAGATTGGCGATAGTCTCCATAGAAGCCGTTCGATTAACGCCAACTTCGTAGCACCGGATGACGAATCGCTCCCTGTACACCAGACCGCCGTCGATTAATCCACCCCGTATGGCCGAGTCGGCATCGGCGGCTTTCCCGTACGTCCCGTTCACCCCCGGCGCGAAACCCGCCGCGATTTCCGCCTCGAATTCCGGAGCCGCGATCACCCGATGTCGGACAGCGCCGTTCTGTGATTGGCTGCCGGAGATCGTAGATCCAGCTGCGCTCGCCGATACCGATCGGACGGCGATAAGACCAGGAGTCGGGGATAACGGATACGAGATAGTGGCGGTGGTGGTAGGTGGAGCTAGATCACGAGGTGGAAGGAAGCTGGATCGCAAGGATATGGATGAAGCGCTAGCGGAATTCACGGCGCTAATTGTGGCGCTAGCGAACGTAGTGCCGTTAGCGCTGCTTGCGGCTCCCGTGGGGTGAAGCCGCAGAGCAGACGCTGATTGGAGGGAGGACATTGCGGGGGCAATTGGACGGTCAAGATCGTCTGTAAATTGGAACGAGTAGTCTGAGTCGCCTAGATCGGCCACTGGTAAACGGAAACGGAATTAGTGGGTCCAGTAAAGCAGACTGATCAGAGTCACCGTGGGGATGATCGGAGGAGGAATGGCAAGAACCGACTCGATAACTACTTCACGGAGCAACAAGGACCCAAAGGCGTTCGTTCCACAACAGCGCTACTCCTGAGAATGGATGGATCAGCCAGAAGCGGAGAGTCCGGCGGAGAAGCAGAAGAGTCGCGACCAGATACAGCCCGCCCGGCAGAAGCAGGCCAAGGAGAAACGCGGACAAGTGACGGAGGTTGAAGCAATATAGAAAGCTGATCAAAACTGATCCACGGAAGGTGTGCTTGACTGAGAAAGATGAGGGAGTAAAGAGTTGCAGACGGGAAACAGTAGTTAGTAAAAATCAGCATTCACCTGAGTGCAGAATTAGCCGAGCATGAGAAAGAAGAACGCAGTAGGATGCAGTTCCCGAGAACGATTGGACTGGTGGAGCAGAAACTTGGCGATCAGGCTGTTTGAGAAGAAATTTGTCCTACTCGGTAAACCGTTGGATCGGGTCATCGACGGTTCAACGTGGTGCGTCGGTTCATCTGTGCCAGGAAAACTTTGTTCTAGAGGGACTTCGTGGCTGTAGCTTCATCACTGTTGTGTACTGTACTGCAACTATTTTGTTCGCCTGCCCTTTCGATTCGACACAATCAAGGAGCGCCGCGCCCCTGAGATCTCGCTGCTGCCAACCATCCGCCGAGCGTGGGGACTCAATGTTACACATCTCAGCCAATCATAGCTCGGACGATCTCGGCTTACGAAACCTTGCACGAACAAACGGAGCTATTGACGGCCTGTCGGCAGGTGTCGTCGACACTGATGTTCCCCCATTGGACAGGCGTCAAAGAAGGTCCTTCTCGCTAATTGAAGGACGAGGTTGAAACAGCCGAACACGTTTCGCTTTGTCGTCGCACATGGGAAGAAACCCATGTCGGCCGTCAGCTGCAAGCAAGCACCCTCCCTCATGCGCGCCTCTCGAGGTTGCGCCAACAGAAACAAGTCGTGACAAAATGTGCGAAGCGCGCAAGGTCCCAGCACCATTCATTGAGCGCAATTCAGGGAGCCAATAACCAACACCAGATGAACCATCCATGAGGCTTATCATAATAACCTTAGCGGGAAACGTTTCATTCCATAAGTATATTTCACGTCTTCCTTAAAGTACCAAAACAAGACGGGAGGCTCCTGTTAGAGCGTATAGACCTTGGAATTCTGAGCTCTGGAAGGTGCTAGAACAGGGATCTTCTAGCCCCTCGGTGCTTCCAGGACCAGCCAGACCAAACAGAGACCTGTCTCAAGATTTGTTGGCTGTTCCTACACTAGGGCCTACTACATATCTCCAGTGACCCATACGCTTGCACACATTCCAAGCTTCGCGGCTATTATCGTCGATCGTTGGAGGTAGATTCAGCTGATCGTAAATTTCCCATTCGTGAGATCATCAGTGACTAAAGTAAGGCAATCCTCGGTCCCCGCAAATTGCTGCACTCTAGAGTACAGACCCTCTCCTTTGTCATTCGTAAACCATGCACACATTCGAGGACGCACGCGATGAGGTCGAGGTTCGAATCCCGCTGCCGGCAGAAATGAAGTCTTCTGAAGTCGCGAAGCGACTATCCATTGAGTTTAAACCTAACTCCGTCAAGGTGCAGTACCGCTTTAAACTCCCCCATTCATTTGCATCGCATACCGCGTCCTCTTAACCTTATTTTCCCGTCTCTTATCGCGTTTTTTTCCTCCTAATATCCAGCATTTTCAAACCCGATTTCCGAATCACATTTTTTCCTCAAATAACAATTCATGTGGTTCGGCCTTCTTTCTTGGCAGGTAGCATGGAAGGAAGGTGCGGCAGCTCCCCTCCTAAACGCTCCAGATCTGTACGAGAAGATCCGACCGTCCGATTCAGCCTGGTACATCGACGGCTCCACGCTCGTCCTGACCCTGCAAAAGGAGCAACCGCAGAAGTGGCCCGCCCTAACCGACACCGAAGCCTTGGAAAAGAGGTTCGGACCCATCCGAACCTCCCCAGAGAAGGCAACAGCTTCGGCAGCAGCGTCATCTGCAGCAGCAGGGAACGGAACTGGCAAAACAAGCACGGGGAAGGAAGGGGCGCTGGGAGGAGGGGAGGGGGGAGCGGGGAAGGCGGAGGGGAAGGGGGAGGATGGGGCAGGTGAAAAGAAGGACGGGGCTGCAGCGTGGGCTGCCCGGGAAAAAGTAAACCGGCTGCTGAAGGCTGCACAGGAGGGGGATGTGGAGGGTTTGAAACAAGCCGTTGCCGTGATGATTGCAGATGGGAAGGCGGAGGAGAAGGCAGAGGAGAAGGGGGAGGGGAAGGCGAAGGGGGAAAAGGAGGGGGTGCAGATGTATTCGGAATTAGATGTAGATGAGATGGTTAGCAGTAGCAGCGGTGGTGGTGGTGGTGGTGGTGGCGGTGGTGACAATACCGAGGGGAAGCTTCAAGTAGAGGAAGCCCGGGAAGTGCTAGAGGAAGTGAGGGACGCCAACGGCCGCACGGCCCTGCATTTCGCAGCCAGCAAGGGGCACTTAGACGCGTGCAGGTACATGGTGGGGGATATAGGCGTGCCTGTGGATGTGAAGGATGACGAGGGGGAGACGCCGCTTCTGCTGGCGGCCCGCGAGGACCACTCGGACGCTGCCAAGTGGCTGATTGAGCACGGGGCGAACGTGGCCACGTCAGCAGAGAAATCGGGAGCGCAGGCGATACATCACGCTGCAGGGCATGGTGAGTAGGGAGTGGACGGATGGTATGGCACGTCTAGTCTATTTCTTAGGCGCCAAAAAATAGAAGTCCGGGCGCAGGCGATGCATCACGCTGCGGGGCATGGTGAGTAGGGCGCATGGGAGCATGGGAGAGGGGGAGTGGGGGAGCATGGGAGCGTGGGAGAGGGGGAGTGGGGGAGAGGGGAAGCATGGGAGCGTGGGAGGATGGGAGCAAGGGAGCATGGGGGCATGGGGGCATGCGGGCATGCGGGCATGGGGGCATGGGAGCATGGGAGCATGGGAGCATGGGAGCATGCGGGCATGGGGCCATGGGGGCATGGGAGCATGGGAGCATCTTAGAAGCACGGTAGAAGGTGGGTATGAGTTAGGGGGATACGGTTTTTCTGTGCAACTTCGACAATCGTCTTGGTCTACGAACCCCTTTGCAGGTTCGGTGAAGACCCTCGAGCTGCTATTGGACAACGGAGCCGACCCAAACGCTCAGAGAGACGCCGGGCCTCCACTGCTGTGGGCGTGTGGGCAGGGCATGTCATGGGAAGGTGGCTGCGGTGGAGGTGCTTCTAACGAGGGGGGCTATTCTGGAAGCTGGCTTGACTCCCAACTCTTTTCTGAACAACTCTGCCCACCTCCACCCTTCCCCCGTCACCGCTCCTCTCCGGCCCGCCTTTTCCAGGTTCGGTGAAGACCCTCGAGCTGCTATTGGACAACGGTGCCGACCCTAACGCCCAGAGCGACGCCGGGCCTCCGCTGCTGTGGGCGTGTGGGCACGGGAAGACCGCTGCGGTGGAGGTGCTTCTAACGAGGGGGGCGAATCCGGATACCCCCAACGAGGATGGGGTGAACTCGCTGCTGACCGCCACTGCTGCAGGGGAGACGGAGATCGTCAAACTGCTGCTCAAGGTAGGTACAGGGTACAGGGTACAGGGTTCGGGGTTCAGGGTATTGGGAACAGGGTACAGGTTCAGGGTTTAAGGGTTAAAACGCTGCGCAATAACCTGGACGATACCCCCACCGGGGATGGGGGAGCCTCACTGCTGAATGCCACTGCCGCTGGGGAGACGGGTATTTTCCCAACTGCTGCTCAAGGTACAGGGCCTAGGGTTTCGAGTGTAGAGAAAATACTATCCTTCAACGCAAAAGAAGAAGAAAATGATTAGCCCAAGGCAACCCCCTCTCTCCCTCTCTCTCGCCCACAGGATGGGGCGCAACCCAACCCTCCTTCTCCTACAGACCCACATCCCTCACACACCCCGTCTTCCCCCCTTCCCCCCTTTTCCCCTTCCCCCCTTCCCCTCTTTTCCCCTTCCCCCCTTTTCCCCTTCCCCCCTTTTCCCCTTCCCCCCTTCCCCCCTTCCCCTCTTCCCCCTCTTCACAGCACGGGGCTCAGCCCAACCCAGGCAGCCCCCCTCTCCCCACCAACGCCGCTGCTGCCGCTGCTGCCACGTCTGCCGTTGCCACTGGTGCCGCTCCGCCCTCCCCTCTCCCATGCGTCACCTCCACCACCCCACTCATCGTTGCTTCCAACGAGGGTAACCTAGAGGCGGTCTCTGCTCTGCTGGACGCTGGCGCTGATGCCAATGCGAGGGACGAGGATGGGATGACGGCGCTAGACGCTGCTGCTGCTGCGGGGCACCAGGAGATAGTCTCTAGGTTGATCGGGGTTACGGCGCGGCCTGCTGACGTGGCGGAGGGGGAGTGGACGGTGGAAGGGGTGATGAAACGGGCGGCGGCACAGGGTGCATCAATGAGTGGAGGAGGGGGAGGAGGGGCAGCAGATAGTGGAGTAGGGTTATCAACATCAGCAGCAGGGGCAGGAGGAGCAGCAGGAGGAACAGGAGCAGCACCCCCCGGGTCTGCTCTCTCTGGGTCGGTGGCTGCAGCAGTGGCAGAGGCGAAGGCCAGAGGGGATGCCGCGTTCAGATCTCAGCAGTTCCAACAGGCGGTTGACTCGTACACTCAGGTATGTGTGTTACGGGGAGGTACATACAGACAGTATGTTACACAGTGACACACACACACATACAGGTATGCATTTTACACAGTAACACAACACACAAGACGTGTTCGGTACACTGTTACGCTGCTACACTGTTACACTGTTACGCTGTTACGCTGTTACTCTGTTACATTACACCCAGTTCTTGCAGAAGGGCTGATGGCTTTAACCTTAACCCATCCCTTTCAGCCCAACCCCTCCCTCCATACACCAACCAATAGGCCCTGGATGTGTTCCGGAAGGCGGATCTCCCCCAAATACCAGCAGAGGACCGAGTCATGAGGGGCACGCTGATGGCGAACTGCAGCATCTGCTGGCTGCGTCTGGGGCCGGCAGGCGCCCTTGGCACTCCCCTTGTATCTCACTTGCTGATTCCGAACCCATGCCTGTAACAACCCCGGACCCTCTAACCCTGCAGGCTCTGGATCTGTACCCGAAGGCGGATCTCCCTCAAATACCAGCGGAGGATCGAGTGATGAAAGGCACCTTGATGGCTAATCGCAGCATCTGCTGGCTGCGCCTGGGGCAGGCGCCCCTGGCCCTAGCAGACGGACAGATGGCTCGATCGCTGCGGCCAGACTGGTCTAAGGCTTACTTCCGCGAGGGGAGTGCCTATAGGGCCATGGAGGTGAGTGTGTGGGGGGGGATGGAGTGGGGAGAGGAGGGATGGGGGGGAAGAGGGGTGAGGAAGGGACTGGGGCAGGCGCCCCTGGCCCTAGCAGATGGGCAGATGGCTCAGTCGCTGCGGCCAGACTGGGCTAAAGCCTTCTTTCGTGAAGGGAGTGCCTATAGCGCCATGGCGGTATGTTCTACTAGGAGGGTAGAGGAAAAGGGAGAGGGAAGGGTGAAGGGAGGGATCGGCAAGCGCCCTTGGCTCTAGCAGACGGGCTTGGTTGCTGTGGCCGGACTCGCCTAAGGCTTACTTCCGAGAGGGAAGAGCCTGTAGGGCGATGGAGGTGAGTGGGTGGGGGAGTCAGGAGGGGTAGAGAGGGGAGAGGCGGGTAGGGACTGGGGTAGGCGCCCCTGGCCCTGGTAGACGGGCAGATGGCTTGGTTGCTGCGGCCAGACTCGCCTAAGGCTTACGTCCGAGAGGGGAGTGCCTGTAGGGCCATGGAGGTGAGTCTGCATGGGACGAGAGAGGGGAAGGGAGAGACGGGGGGGGGGAGGTAGGGGGGGAGAGGTGGGGGGGGGGGAGGAGGGACAGAGTTGAGGGAGGGACCGGGGCAGGTACCCTTGGCAGTAGCAGATGGGCAAATGGCTTGGTCGTTGCAGTTGGTTTGGGTGAAAAGTTGCTTCTAAGAGGGGTTTTGAGCTGGCTTTGAGGCGCCTCAAAACTAAAGTTGCTTCTAAGAGGGGTTTTGAGTTGGCTCAAAAGACGACTTCCAAGTGCTGGAGAACCGCAACATTTGCTGACCAGCAGATGTGGTGGTTTTGGGTCTCTGCTCTGATGGTTTTTGTGTCTCTGATGGCTTTTTGAGTCGACTCAAAAGAAGCTATTCAGTCGACTCAAGAACCGCAACATGTGGAGACTAGCAGATGTGGCGGTTTTGAGTCGCTGGCGACTCTCCAAGGTCAGCAGATGGCTCGGTCACTGCTGTCGATCGGGGAGAGAGCGTTGTTCCGAGGGGGGGGCGAGGGGGGAGCGAGGGGGGAGCGAGGGGGGAGTGCTGCTGTTTAAGTTGTTGAGGCGAGGTTGGGGGAGTGGGTGGGGTTGGGGGAAGGATGATGTGCTTACCTGCATGCCCGCTCAGTGGTGGGAATGGCTGTTGTTGAGAGAGATTTTTTAGAATTCTCAAACATGCATCCACTGTGAAGCAATTCCTCTGCTTGTGCGTGTGTTTGGTGTACGTCTGTTGCTTGTGTTACAGCGTTACGAGGATGCAGCCAATGTGTTCTTTGAAGGAGTGCAAGTCGATCCAAACAACATGGACCTCACAGCAGCCTTCCAGTAAGTGGCTCACTGACCCTCCTTGTAGCCTTACTTGAGTTTGTAACCTGATGGAAGGTAACAATGTTACAAGGATGCAGCCAATGTGTTCTTCGAAGGAGTGCAAGTTGATCCGAACAACATGGATCTCACAGCAGCTTTCCAGTAAGTGCCTCAGTGAGCTTTTATGCACCCCAATGTGTGATGATGACGCATGTACTTATGCGTGCAAGTCGATCCTAACAACATGGACCTCACAGCTGCTTTCCAGTAAGTGGCTCAGCAGCCTATATTGAGATCGTAACCTGACGGAAGGTAACAATGTTACGAGGATGCAGCCAGTGTGTTCTTTGAAGGGGTCCAAGTCGATCCAAACAACATGGACCTCACAGCTGCTTTCCAGTAAGTGTTTATGCGAGTATGCAATGCAACTACCCGTCGTGAGGAACGGAGCCTGGTCGCACATGTGCGTATCCTTTCTACTGGTAGGAGTTACTCGCTGTCCTCATGCTTCCCACATGCATGCCTTCCACATGCATGCTTTCCCACATGCATGCTTTCCACATGCATGCCTTCCACATGCATGCCTTCTCACTTGCATGCCTTGTTTTGTTCTGCCTATCTCTTTCTTGCAGAGAGGCGATCGAAGCCGGGCGCAAGGCACACAGAGAGAATCAGGCATCCAAGTGATAAGAAATCGAGGTGACTTTTGAGTGAATAGGGACTCAGAAGTCAAAAGGCACCAAGGCACATCAAGAGAGTCAGTGATCCTTGCGAGACTACGTCTCAAAAGTAATTTGGAAACGTTACAGGCTTTACTTTTGTGTTTGTCTACTCACATGCATGTCTTCTTGCCTGCATGTTCATGCCCCTTCTGTTCCTCTTTCGTCACCAGCATTGCTCCATATCTGCCCATGGTAGTTCCTCTGTGCAGAGAGGATGTTATAGGTAGGTTCAATAACACGTACCAGTAACTTTTATGCAATGTTACAGTGTCCATACACAATTCACCAAGCTTGATCAATGATCATGTTGAAGAGTGACACGGAGGCAAGGCATGCTTGTCATTCAGGGAGCATGATACCTTATAACGACTTCGAGCTACCCAAGGCAAAGTGTGCATGGTACTCATACATCAAATAACATTAGTGCTAAGTGTCACATACCAGTGCATTCAACTTGATGAAATGTAACAGTGTCCACAGCAGGCCTTGCCTTCGAATCACCATTTCAACACCAAGCTACACTTGGCAAGGTGATTTTTGAGTCGACTAAAAAAATTGCCTTTGAATCACCATTTCAACACCAAGCTACCTATGACAAGGTACACTGCATCAAGTACAACGAGTCATCCAATCAGGCACCTTGAACCATAACTTCTCTGAGGCTAGGGGGGAGGAATGGCGGCAGTGCTGCAACATCATCCAGACTGCCCTGTATCGTACCACCACCGCCGCCAGAACTCCCCTCCGCCCTCGCCAACCTACCTTCCACCCTCCCATGATCTCTCAACCAGCCAGCACGACATCATCCAGACTGCCCTGTATTGTACCACCACTCCCGCCTCTCCAGCTGCAGCAGCGTAGCAACGAGGTTCTGCTCGGCACCATCCCTCCCCTCCTCTCAACCCTCGCTCGAACACCCTTCCACCTTCTCATGATCCCTCACCCAGCCAGCAAGCCCTCTCAGTCCCTCCACTCCCGCCTCTCCTACTGCAGCAGCGCAGTAACGAGGACCTGCTGGGCGTTGAGGCGGAGGAAGAGAGGGAGGGGCGTGGAGGAGGAGATGCGGGCGAGCAGAGAGGAGGCGAGAGCAGCACTGAGCCGAGTCTCCCCCACCAGGGAGAGCACCCTAGCAGTAGCAGTAGCACCGGCGTTGGCTCCTGTGTTCACATTTGCTGCAGCAGCCACCCAAGCACCTGGCAGAACCACCAGAGGGGTCAGGGCTGAAGGCACCGAACCAGCAACCGAGCCAGCCACCGAACCAGCCAAATTGGCGACCGAGCCTGCTGCCTTTCCTGCAGTGCTAATTGTTGAGTCTGCAGTGTTGGCCACCAAGCCTGCAACCGACCCTGCAGCACTACCTGCAGTGCCAGTGGCCAAACCTGCAGTATTTCCCACCAAGCCTGTTGCCAAGCCTGTTGCCAAGCCTGAAAGGTTCCCTGCTGAGCCTGCTGCCTTCCCTGCAGTGCCAACTGCCGAGTCTGCAGCAGTGCCGGCCAAGCCTGCTGCCGAGCCTGTAAGCCTCCCAGCAGAGCCTGCCACCTTCCCTGCAGTGCCAACTGTGGAGCCTGCGACGGTGCCAACCAAGCCTGCTGCCGAAGCTGCCGCTTTTCCTGCAGTGCCAGCTGCCGAACCTGTAAGATTGGCTGCCGAGCTTGCTGCCGAGCCTGCGAGGTTCCCTGCAGTTCCTGCCACCTTTCCTGCAGTGCCTACTGCCGAGCCTGCGGTGTTGCTCACCAAGCCTGCAGCCGAGCCTGCTGCATTGCCCACCAAGCCTGCTGCCGAGTGTGTAAGCCTCCCAACAGAGCCTGCCACCTTTCCTGCGGTGCCAGCAGTGGAGCCTGCAACGGTGCTAACCAAGCCTGCTGCCGAACCTGCTGCCTTCCCTGCAGTGCCAACCGCCGAACTTGGAAGATTGGCTGCCATGCCTGCTACCGAACCTGCGACATTCCCTGCGGAACCTGCCACCTTTCCTGCCGTGCCTACTGCTGAGCCTGCGGTGCTGCCCACCAAGCCTGCTGCCGAACCTGCAAGGCTCCCCACTGACCCTGCTGCCTTCCCTGCTGTGCCTACCGCCGAGCCTGCAACACTATCCACCAAACCTGCTGCTGAACCTGCAGCCTTCCCTGCCGAGCCTGCCACACTCCCCGCTGCCCTCCCCACACCAGAAACAGCTCCTGCCACATCCGAAACAAACCCAGCGGGAACCGCATTGAGGCTCGGCGAACCTCCAAGACTAGCTCGGGTGCTATCCAAACCTGTGCTGGCCACTGCGTTGGCACCCACATCAGCTGTGGCTCTGAGGAGAGCGGAGGAGAGGGAGGGGATGGTGCAGGGGTTGCTAGCGAGGATGGCTGGGGGGGAGGAGGGCGGCTGGGCGATGCCTTGCGCTGCGATCTTGTAGGCAAGGTACACAGAGGTGCCCCTGGGGTGATGTGAGGGGGGAAGGAGATGGAGATGGCGAGAGGGTTAGTGGGGTGGAAGGGAGGAGGGAGAGAAGTGCGGAAGCCTGAGTCAACTTGATGTGTTCAATGACATTAAAGAGGAGATGTGTTTTGGTGCAATGAGGGAAGAAGAGAAGTTGGAGGTACCTTCTGAGGATGCTGATGTCAGCAATGCCGTTAATGTCGGATCTGACGTCAGCCCCTCTTCCACCACACGTGTTGAGCGTCCCACGGAGAGAAGCTGGAGGGGAAAACAAAAACAAAACACAGAAGGATGTGGATTTGGGAAGTTGGGCGTAAAAATTGCAGTCAGTAAATAAAAGTTTGAGCTTGTGGTTTGCAGATTTTTGTCATAAAGGGGCCCTCTTTATAAAGAGATGGCACTCACCCAGAATCTTGGAGCTGATTCCAAGCCCTGTACGCGCAGCCAGGGCAGATGGAGTGAGAACTGCTGAAGCAAAGGAGATCATATGGGTGGACATCGAGAGGGTACGGCCACAGGAATTGGGGTTAGTGATCGAGGCGCTTCCAAGGAGCTTTATGAGACTCGAAATGTTTAGCCTTGATGATTCAATTTACAACAAGTCAGGTGCTGATGCTTGCCGGGAAACAGAGGCCAGGATTGTACCGGAAAACCAGGAATCTGGAGACTTGGGATAAAGAGTTGCTCACCTGCGAGTGCGACAAGGAGCAGAGTCACAGCAGCGCGGGGAAAAGAACGAGCCATATTGATAGGCTGGGAGGACGTCCCACGAGTGAAGGAAGAGCAGAGCAGGACGGAGCGGAGCAGAACGTTGGATGCTGGATACAGGCCGGAAGAGAGGGTTGTCCCTGGAATTGGATTTGCTCGATTGTGCTGGCTTTGGGAGCCGTGATGCCAAATGTTGGAAATGTTGAAACTTATTCAAACTTTTCCGGACCGCGATTTTAGACCCGCGGCGCTTTTGAGCAGAACTGCTCACCCTTTCAAGTGGTTTGGCGGTTGGGCAGGCCACGTGGCGGCTGCGTTTGAATTGCAGTGGCGGTGGGGCAGGCTGCCTGACGAAGCCCCAAGGCCACCGAAAATGTTTCACGTTGAAAGCAGTCAACGGTCAAGCTGGATGGATTCCCGAACTAGCTCGATAAAAACGTTCTCGATATTTTTGTTATGATCGGAATTCGTCTTTCTGGAGGTAAACCTTCCGTTCTCCCAGCATGTGGATGGTAAAAGATCTGTGGGTACCGCTTGATCATACCTAGGTGTAGCTCATGCAGCCAAAAAAAAAAAAAAAAGAGGGTCAATTTGCGGTGTTTCATATAGCGCGGATGTTGGTTTTCACATTCGCTCCGTCGTGGGTAACACAAATTCTCCGAGCCAATACACGGATGAGTAGATCCGTGGCCTAGGCCAAACCTAGCCCATACCTAGCCTCCGCGCGTGGCTAGAACCCCAAATGAACGAACCAGGATCATGGGCCTGGTTCGCCAAACAGACGTAGTTCAGAACCTAGAACTAGGCTCGTCGATTCCAAACCGGAACACATTTTCCACGCGGGCATGCACTTCGCCTTGCGCCAACTTCGCCCCTCCCGTCGTGCACATCAAGGTTGAACCGCATCGCCTTCTCGTGCACCAGAACAAACGAGCCCCGTCAAAATTTCAGATCATACGTACCCTGATTGCCCGAAGCAGTTCGTACCAGTACATTGTTTGTCAGCTTCTGATAAATGGATTCTCTGTTGTGGAATTGCGAGGTTCGGGCCATCACAGCCCTGTTTAGGGGCTGCGCAAGCCTGCGAACTGTTTGAAATCGTACCAATACTTGAAAGTGCTGTAATCACTTACCACCAGGGTCCTTCGCAGATTTCTTTGCTTTCGAGAAACTTATCCCCCGTAAAACGCTTCACTCATTGCTTCGCCCTGGGGTTGTCACAATCCTGGACCAAGCGCATCGCGATTCGCGCCCCTCCCACAAACACAGCATGCCATCACACCCGCTTCTCACACAGGTAGGGGTTTCTCATTCGCGCCGCCATATGTTCTCTCCTCTTCACGTAAGTAGTTACTAGTTGCCTATTGGGGCAAGGGGAAGGCCTCGGGGTAAGCCAAGCCTCAGTTCGCGAGTCGCGACGACTCACTGCCTCACAGTGCACGAAACCTGGATGCTGCTGTTCAGGTCAGGTAGTGTCTAGTGTGCTTGGTTCGGTTCGGATAAGCCGCCAGTTCCCTGAGCAAGCCCGTCAGCTTAGCTTCCCAGGGTGACTTGGGTTAGCGTTTTCGGGTGACGAGTGGTTGAAACTTAGCAGCGGTTAGTAGCGGTTAGCATGTTAGCTGGCTGGAGCCCTGCTCGGAGCCTGGTTATCGCCCCGCAAAAAGGCGTTGCTAGGTGAAGTGCACGAAGTGGTTGACGGAGTTGCGAGAAGACATTGCGATGTGCGCGAATTAGAGGAGTAACGCCGATGAAGGTCCAGATTCAGCGACCAGTTTCCGCTCCAGGATTAGAAGGACGCGGAAGGATCGTTAGACCCAGGCGCCAGTGGAAAACGCAGCAAGTATAGACCTAGGCGCAGGGTCTCTAGCCAGTTAACATTAATACGGATATCCGCTCCAAGATTAGAAGGACGCGGAACGATGGTTAAACCCAGGCGCCCCTGGGAGACGCGGCAGTGAGCAGAGACATATCACAGCAGGCTTTTTTTTTAGTCGAACTCAGGCGCCTAAAAAATTATCACAGCAGACGTTTTTTTTACTCGAACTCACCAAGTTTTGAGGCGCGTCAAAACGAGACGCGGCAGTGAGCGGAGACATATCACCGCAGACGTTTTTTTTAGTCTGACTCACCAAGGTCTCACTGGATAATACAGCGAGACATACCATAGCAGCATGGGCTTATAGCCTAATACACGACCGCTAGTCCGAGTTACTTCGGTGCTTGCGGCTTCGAAGCTTCGTAAGGTGAAGAGTATTAATCGGTAGCCCGTAGTAGCCCGTTGCTGCTTCCGCAGTAGTAGTTCGTTATGGAAACTCCGTCGTAGCTGCAGGGTCGTTTAAATCTGCCTACTTCTGTACCCAGCGTTTTAGGTTACCTGGTTACCACATGGATGCTGCGCTCCGTGCCATGTCAGCGTGGGATCGAATCCGAATCTCTCCAGCTCTAAACGCCGTTCGCCCCACTCCCGTGGTTCAGCCTCCTCCCGTTTTTCGGCCTCCTCCCGTCTCTCTCCCACCCGCCGCTCCACGCCTTGTCGGGTCCTCGTCGGGGGGTGCTAAGCCTCGCACCGCAGGTGGACTCGACAGCGACTCGGGTCAGGTGGAGGAAGAGGAGGAGGAGGCGGAAAGCAGGCTGCTGGGAGGAGATGGTGCGAGGGACCGAGAAAGTAAGCTCCGTGGGAGTTTAATTCGCGAAGAGGCAAGAAGGGGGCGCTTCAACGCGCCCGGCCGTGTTGAGGCAGCACACGGCCGTAACGGGCCAGCTCACGAAGTGATTAGTAGAGGCTCGATAAGCGGTACAAGTACTCAAGATCGCGTCTCGGAAGACCGCCTCCGAAGCGCGACGGACTTGGCGAGCTCGGTTCCTGTAGTTAAGTGGGCCTCTTATCCGTCGGTCAGAAGCGCAGCGGGTGATAGAAGCGCAGGGGGTGATAAAAGCGCAGGCGGTGATAGAAGCGCAGGGGGTGATAGAAGCGCAGGGGGTGATAGAAGCGGAGAAGGAATCGGTGACAGAAGCCGAGGAGATAGTAACGGAGGGGTTGCTGGTGGTAGCAGCGGGGGTGCCAGTGATAGAAACAGATGTGATACTAGGAGCCTGTACCATCGCCGTCAAGCGCAGGATGCGTGGGCGGACGGCGGCGCAGATGGGGGGGCGGATTGGCGGGCTGATGGGCGCGCGGATGGGTACGCGGATGGGCGGGTGACATCCCAAGTTTCGGGTCCGAGGGACCCGAACCTGCGGAAAGAAGCTCTTCCGCCTCCCCCCCGATGGATTCCCGCTTCTTCCGCAAGACATAGCGCCTTGCCCGTCCCTTACGGGCGCGGAGACGGTGGGGGACGTGGGGGAGCAGACTGGGGCGCAGATAGGCGCGCGGATGGGCGGAACGATGGTCTTCCGCCCCCCCCTGGGCGGGCCCCCGCTTCTTCCTCCGCTTTTTACCGCGCCATGCCTGACCCTTACGCCCGGCCGGTGCCCCGGCAGCACGGAACGGCGTTCCGCAGAGGCGTCGGCGACGGGGATAACGGCAATCACGGCGGCAATAACGGCGGGATTAACGGCGGGATTAACGGCGGGAATGACGGCCGAGGTAACAGCATTGCGGGTGAAGGAAGAGGGCGCATGGGTGCGGAGCCGGCAGAGCATAGCTTGATGTTTCCGGGAACAAGAGATAGACTGAGAGAGGACGGCAGCCGGCAGGGCAGCCTGAGGAGCCGCCGGCAAGTCGAGGAGACGACGGCAGAGGTGACGGCTAGCCGGCAGACAGGCGTCCAGCCGGCTTATGTGTTCACGGAAACCGGCTGGAAGCCGAGAGAAGAGGTGGAAGGTTGGAATGATGGGGGGAGATGGGGCAGGGGGAGGGTGGGGGCTGGGAGGGGGGCGGGGGAAAGGGGGAGAGGAGGAAGCGGTGGCGGGGACAGGGGGATTAGCGGGTGGGGAAGAGGGGCGGGAACGGACAGGGGCGGAACGGTGGGGGAGCCACGAGCGGGGGGAGATCAGTGGGGCGGGGAGGAGCAAGGGGGGAGAATAGGGGAGCGGAGGGTGGGGGAGGAGCAACAGGGGGGAATTGGCGGGGATGCTGGGGGGGAGCGGAGGGCGTGGGGGGGATGGGGGCGGAAAACGGGGGGGAATGGTGGAGTGAAGGTGGGGGAAAGAGGGGGCTATTTGGATAACCAGCAGGATGAGAGGAGGTTAGCAGGACAACCAGTAGATCATGGAAGGTCTTTTGAGGCACCTCAAAAGGGGGGGGAAGCTGGAGTGAAGGTGGGGGAACGAGGGGGCTATTCGGACAACCAGCAGCATGAGAGGAGAGTAGATCATGGGAGGACATGGGAAGAGGAGGAGGAGGAGGGAGGAGGAGGGGAGGGGAGTAAGGAGGGCGGAGCTGCACCCTCTCTCGAAGAATTAGGAATTCATGGGAAATTGGGGAGAGGAGAAGAGAAGGGCACAGGAGCAGTAAGAAAGGACAGACTAGAAGGCAGGTATAGTGGGCCGTTTTATCCTAACGATCCTGTCTTAGAAGAGGTCGGAGGAGTGGGTGAGGAGATGTGCAGAGAAGGAGGCAGGGGAGGAGGGCAGGGGGGAGGTGAAAAAGGGGAGGATGAGGATCAAGAAGAGGAGGAAGAGGAGGAGGAGGAGGAGGAGGAGATGGAGGAGATTGAGATGGAGCGACCGCCGTTGTTGTCTGCCTTCCGGGAAGGGAACGGACATTGGAAATCAAAGGGTTTGAGTATGGGACCAGCATCAGCCTCAGCATCGGTACAGGAGGACGAAGAGGACGAAGCGGAGGTGAGGATGGAGGAAGGAGAGAAAGAGGAGAAGGTGGAGGAGGAGGAGGAGGAGGTGGAGGAGGAGGAGGAGGAGGTGGAGGAAATTGAGATGGAACGACCGCCGTTGCTGTCTGCTTTCTGGAATGGGTTTGGAAAATGGACGGGGCTGGGTGTACTACCCCCAGAGGTTACAGCAATAAGAGAAGACGGAGCAGCAGCAGCAGCATCGAGAGGCGGAGCAGCAAAACCAGCCGCAGCAGCCGCAGCGGCAGGAGCAGCAGCGTCAGTAACAGCACCACCAGCCCCATCAGCTGAAGGATCAGCAGCAGAACCAGCAGCAGCAGCAGCAGCATCGAGAGGCGGAGCAGCAAAACCAGCCGCAGTAGCCGCAGCGGCAGGAGCAACAGCAGCAGCAGCAGGAGGAGCCGCAGCAACAGGAGGAGCCGCAGCAACAGCAGCAAGGGGAGCAGCAGCAGCAGCAGCAAGAATGCAGAGGTTCAGGCCGAAGCTATTACCAGAGAACTTCGCAGGAAGAAACCCCTTAGCCTCGCCCAAAGCAGCCACTAGTAACCATGCGAGGCAACGGACGGCAGGTGGTAACCACATGCGCGAAACGGATTCGAGTGGTAACCACATGCGAGAAACTGAGGCTCACGGAAACGGCGTGGGCCGTGGTGAATCGTCGGGGAGAGCCGTAACCCGACCGTCTTCTCTGCCCCGTGAGCCCGTGGAGACCACGGCGGAGGAGCGCTGGCGCAAGGCGCAGGAGGCTTTTGAGGCGCCTCAAAAGTCTTCTCTGCCCCGTGAGCCCGTGGAGACCACGGAGGAGGAGCGCTGGCGCAAGGCGCAGGAGGCCAGACTACCAGCCTTAGCCAGAAGCCTCGGTGTCCCCTTTGATGCTAAGCGCACCCTCGGTGCCCCAGCACACCACTTTGATGATCCCGAGTATCTCCAGGAGCCGCGTGCTGAGGCGCCTCAAGATAGACACGTGCTGCCCCGTAAGCCGGCAGAGACCACAGAGGAGGAGCACTGGCGCAAGGCGCAGGAGGCCAGACTGCCAGCGTTGGCCAGAAGCCGCCACGAGGAGTCCCCGAGCAGACAGGCTGGGCCGCCACACGAGCCCGCAGAGACCACTGAGGAGGAGCACTGGCGCAAGGCGCAGGAAGCCAGACTACCCGCCTTGGCCAGAAGCCTCGGTGACACCCGTCCGTTTCACGATCCACGCCCCTTTGACGACCCCCTTGAGCGCTATCACCAGCAGCAGGGTTCGGCACCGCTTGAGCCCCAACCCTTCTATGAGCCTCCGCAAGCCCCGTATGGAGAAGCCCGAGGGCTCTGTCACCCGGAGGGTGTGCGTGCTACTGTCAACCCCAAGAGGGCTTCACCCCCTCGCGCGTCCCTTTTTCAGGCGCCTCAAGTCTCGTCCCCCCCTGCTGGCCACCTCAGGGAACCCCCAGCCGCTGCCACAGCCTTCAGCCGCAACCTCAGCAGCAGCAGCAAAGGCTCCTTGGACCGCTGTGCTTCTCCCAGCAGCAGCAGCAGCAGCATCAGCAGCATCCGCAGCAGCAGAGGCTCCTTAAACCCCTGCGCTACAGCGGCAGATAGGGGCCTCGGCAGGTGCGAGCACCCGAGACCTGCTCCTTGTGCTCCTACCTCCACCGCTCACTCCACCACTCACTCCACGCCACGTGGCAAGGCCTTGGACCCCTGTGCTGCTGCTGCAGATGCAGATTGGGGCCTTGGAAGGTGTGAGTATACGAGGAGTGACAGCCGAGGAAGTGCTTCTTGTGGTGGTGAATACGGTAGTGGTGATTGCAAAAACGGTGGGGCTGGTTACACGAGTGGTAACTCTAGAGTCAACGAGTGTGATTATACGAGGAGTGACAGCAGGGGGAGTGCTGGCAGTGGTGGGCACAGTACCCGTGATTGTAGAGAAAGTGGGGCTGGTTTCAGCAGTGGTAACTCCAGGGTCAATGACAGTGGGGGTTACATAAGTGGTAACTCTAGGGTCAATGACAGTGGGGGTTACATAAGTGGTAACTCCAGGGTCAATGACAGTGGGGGTTACATAAGTGGTAACTCCAGGGTCAATGACAGTGGGGGTTACATAAGTGGTAACTCTAGGGTCAATGACAGTGGGGGTTACATAAGTGGTAACTCCAGGGTCAATGACAGTGGGGGTTACATAAGTGGTAACTCTAGGGTCAATGACAGTGGGGGTTACATAAGTGGTAACTCCAGGGTCAATGACAGTGGGGGTTACATAAGTGGTAACTCCAGGGTCAATGACAGTGGGGGTTACATAAGTGGTAACTCCAGGGTCAATGACAGTGGGGGTTACATAAGTGGTAACTCTAGGGTCAATGACAGTGGGGGTTACATAAGTGGTAACTCCAGGGTCAATGACAGTGGGGGTTACATAAGTGGTAACTCTAGGGTCAATGACAGTGGGGGTTACATAAGTGGTAACTCCAGGGTCGATGACAGTGGGGGTTACATAAGTGGTAACTCCAGGGTCAATGACAGTGGGGGTTACATAAGTGGTAACTCTAGGGTCAATGACAGTGGGGGTTACATAAGTGGTAACTCCAGGGTCGATGACAGTGGGGGTTACAATAGTGGTAACTCTAGGGTCAATGACATTGGCGGGTACAATAGTGGTGCTTACAGTAGTGGCGGCCGTGGTAACAACGAGCAAAGGAGCAGCGACCACAGGAGCAGCAGCAGCAGGGGTGGCGGGAGCATGAGCAGCAGGGGGCATGAGCCCGAGCTAGGCAATAGGGGGAAAGGGAGCATGAGCAGAAGCAGCGACCAGGGGGGCAGCAGCTCGAGAAATGGGATCTGTAGCAGCGGCAGCAGGGACAGCGGGAGCATGAGCAGCAGGGGGCATGAGTCCGAGCTAGGCAACAGGGGGAAAGGGAGCATGAGCAGGAGCAGCGACCAGGGGGGCAGCAGCTCGAGAGATGGGATCTGTAGCAGCGGCAGCAGGGACAGCGGGAGCATGAGCAGCAGGGGGCATGAGCCCGGCCTAGGCAACAGGGGGGGTGGGAGTATGAGCAGAAGTAGCGATCAGAGGAGCAGCAGCACGAGCATGGGTAATAACAACAGCACGAGTAACGGAATGGGTGGTAACAACAGCACGAGTAACAGAATGGGTGGTAACACAAGGAGTGGTAACAACAGGAGCAGCGGAAACTATGGCAGCAGCGACAGCAGTGACGATAGCAGCTGCAGAAGCAGCGTCAGCAGCAGAATCAGTGCTCAGGGAGGGAGGAAGAGAAACAGCGGAGGGGGCAGCAGAGGCAGCGGAGGGAACAGCCAAAGCAGCGGAGGGGGCAGCAGGAGCAGTGGAGCATCTAGCTCAAGAGGCATCACCAGCAGAAGGGTCGCTCTCCCTTCTCCCGCCTCCTCCTGCGCCTCCTCCTCTCCCTCCTCCCCCTCTTCCCCCTCCTCTATCCCCGAAGCTTATGAAACTCCCTTTCATAAGGCAGCCTCGTCTCATACCCCCTCCCCCCCCACGCCTCATGCTCTCCCCCCCATCTCTAACACACCCTCCATCCCTAGACCACTCTCCCCTCCTCTCTCTCCTCCACACTCTCACATCCCCACTCACCGCCCCTCCTCGTCCTCTTCCACCCACTCTGCGCCTTCCCCCTGCCTCTCCCCCACTCCTGCCGCTTCCCGCCCCCGAGCCTCCGCCCGAGCCTCCACCAGGGCCTCCCGCCGAACCTCCCGCCAAACCTCTCCTCAGGTATCTCCACGAAACTCCTCTAAGAGCCCCCGCCGGACCTCTTTCCGAGCCTCCCCATCCGGTTCTCCCAGTGTTTCACCCAGGGTCAGGTCCGGTAGGTCTGCCTCTTCAGGCTCGGCCTTCCCCCGAGCCTACCCATCCGGTTCGGCAAGGTCTCCAAAGCAGCTTCGGCACAGCAGAAGCAGTACCAGCGGCACCAGCAGCAGCCAGGGAAGCAGCAGAGGGAGCAACAGACACAGCAGCACTAACGGCAGTGCTACTGCTTCTGCTGATGCTAGTGCCTCCGGGCCTCCTTCCGCACCTGTTAGCGAACCTCATTCCAAGCCATCCCACCCAGTTTGTTCCGAGCCTGATCCGTCACCCCCTGCTGCTGCCGAGCCTGAGGCTCGGGTCTTGGTTCCTGCCAAGCCTCATAGATCCTTGGAGCTAGAGCTTCCTGACTCTCTAGTACCTGAGCCTACATCGTCCGAGCCTAGAGCTCCAAGTTCCAAGCCTGAACCTGGTCCTCCAAATACCGAGCCTGCAACACCCACATCGAAGCTTCGTAGTTCATGTGCCTCGGGCAGCAGAAGCGATTTCTCGGGCAGCGGAAGCGAACATTCGGGCAGCAGCAGAACAAAGACCGCTCGGGCAGCAGAAGTGATCCCGGTGGTTGCTCGCGCCGACCCCCCTTCCACACCTCCTCCCCCTCTCTCCCCAATCTCCCCTCCTTCCTCTAACACTCCAGCTTCTTCCACCCCCCCCTCTCCTCTATCTCCCACTCCTCCCCCCTCTCATTCCCTCCCCCCTCCTATAACCTCCACCTCCTCCTCGCCTCCTTCCCCTACTCCTCCCTCCCCTTCCATCCCCCTCTCCCCAGCGTCCCCCATCGCAAGGAGGAAAGCAGCAGCAGAAGCAACAGCAAGAAGGAAAGCAATAGCTGCTGGCCTGGCGATTGCAGACTCGGTTATTCCTGGTTCGGTCTCAGGCTCGGTTCCTGGTTTGGCAACAGGCTCGGTTTCTGCTCCGGCTTCACGTCCGGATGAAGCAGCAGCCTCGGATTCAGGTTCGGCAGAGAGGGCGGGTGGGAGGGATGTGGTACTTGGAGAGGAAGGTTCCGCGAAGGAGCAGAGGATTGTTGAGACGAGTGAAGGAGATTTGGCGGCAGAAGCGGCAGATTCGGGAGAGACAAGCATGAGGAGAAATAGCAGTAGTGGCAGCAGCCGCAGCAGCAGCAGCGGCAGCGGCAGCGGCGGCAGCAACTGCAGGAGCAGCCACAGCGGGAGCAGCAGGAGCGGGAGGGGGAGCAGGAAAAGCGGGGCGAAAGGAGAAGACGCTAGTGGAAGCAGCGGAAGCAGCGGAAGCAGCGCAAGCAGCGATGATAGCGGCAACAGCGGCAACTGCAGCAGAAGCCGGAGCAGAGCAGCAGGAGCAGGAGAAAGAAGAGGAGGGGGAGGGGAGGTGGAGAATGCTGAAAGAGATAATGAGATGGTGAGGGGAGGGGATGGGAGCAACGGAAGGGAGGGAGAGGAGGGGAGGAGTGAGGAGAGGGGAATGCGTGATATGGGAAGGGGAGGGAGAGAGGGTGAGAATCCAATACCGGCAGTGATGCCAGCAACAGGAACACTGGCAGCAGCAGCAGCAGCAGCAGCAGCAGCAGGAGGAGCAGGAGCAGCAGCAGGAGCAGCAGCCATGCTACAGCAGCAGCAGCATCCCATGATGACATCAGCATCAACGTCTGTTGGCAGCATGATGACGTCATCATCACCGTTGCCTTCAGGCATGGTCCGCCAATCCATGATGACGTCATCACCAACCCATGCTGGCGTGGTGGGAGGCTCTGGGACCGTGCTGCCCAGCATGCAGCACCCGATGCTAACGTCATCCAACAACCTGGTGGCAAGTGCCATGTTGCCTCCTCCGCCCCCTCCGCCCTTCCTGGATGCTTCCACCGGTACTGTGATTTTAAACGGAAACAGTAATTTTAATAATAGTGGTGAACAGTACGGCAACGGCCAGTTACAGGGTCTGCAGTGCAACGATGCACAGTTCAGTGCGGTGCAGAGCGGTGGCAGTGGTCTACAGTACAACAGTCTGCAGTGTAACGGAGGGCTGATTTCGCCTGATGGAGGAAGGCTGATGCAGTCTCCAGGGCAAATGGGCATGATGACGTCAGCAGGCCACCACATGATGACGTCACCAACTCATCCTCCCTCCCTCATGTCACCTCTCAGACTCGCCCCTCTCACTCCCACCCACTCACTCTCCCTTTCACTTCCTCTCTCCCCCTCTCACCCTCTCTCCCCCTCTCACCCTCTCTCCCCCACTCACCCTCTCTCCCCCTCTCACCCTCTCTCCCCCTCCCATCCCCTCTCTCCCTCTCATCCCTTCTCCCCTTCTCTCCCCCACTCTCCCACCTACTCACTCTCCTCCACACACCCCCTCTCACCCACGCACAACACCATGATGACGTCACCATCCCACTCAATGCTGACGTCATCAGTGGCTGCATCAGGCATGTCATACTCCAACCCCCCATCCATGATGGTATCTCAACAAGAACCCATGGCCATGGCCATGGCCCCACCTTCCCCATCTATGGTGATGCCGCAGCAACAACAATCCATGTCACACTCCAACCCCCCAACCATGATAGTGTCTCCACAACAATCTATGCCCATGGCCCCATCTTCCCCATCCATGCACATGCCTCCGCCCTCCCCAGTATTCTGTGGTAACTCCGTAACCCCCCCAACCATCTCACCACCCTCCCCAGCATCTCCCCAGTACCACTCCCCTGGGGTTTTCAGCTCATATACCCCCCCCTCCCCATCATCCCCTCTCAACATGCATCAAGCCATCATGTTCCCCTCATCCCACCGTTCATCCCACCCCTCCTCCCAGCTTTCCTCCCAGATTTCCTCCCAGCTTTCCCACCCCATGCATACATATGTGGCTGTTAGCAGCAGTCCCATAGCCAACGCCACAGGCAGCAGCAGCAGTAACCCCATGCATGCCCCCATGCACTCACCCATGCATGCACATGCCGCCCTGAGCACCATGGGCAACGCAGGCAGCAGCAACAGTGTGATGGGTACTGCTCCCAACAGCATGGCCATGGTGACGTCAGCACATCATGGCATGCCCATTGTGATGATGTCAGCATCTCAGGGCGGGCAGGATGGGATGACGTCAGCAGGAAGCAGGGGTGGGACGGTGGTGATGGGGTGTGGACAGAGGGAGGGGCGGCAGCAGCAGCAGATCGCACCTGCTCCTGAATCATGGGCACCTGTGCAGCAGCAGCAGCAGTACCACCAGCAGCAGCAGCAACAGCAGCAGCAGCAGCAGTACCCACAGCAGCAGTACCCACAGCAGGAGGGGACCAGAGCTCCAGTCAGCAGCAACATAAACCCCATGATCCCACCTAGAGTCATGGCATCTATTGAATCAAAAATACCCCAGGGTATTTCCCCAGAATTACGGCAACAGTGGGTGCAGCAGCAGCAGCAGGCTTACCTGCAGCACATGCAGCAAAAACAGCAGCAGAAACAGCAGCAGGAGCAGAAAGCGGAGGAGAGGGAGAGGGAGCGGGAGAGGGAACGGCGGCGGAGGCAGCTGCAGCGGCGGCAGCAGCAGCAGCAGCAACTAGAGCTGGAAGAGCAGATAGAGCAGCAGGAGCTGCTGCTGCAGCAGCTGAAAGCAGAGGAGAGGGAGAGGGAGATGGAGCGGCGGCGGAGGCAGCTGCAGCAGCAGAAGCCTCTGGCTGTCGTCATGCTGATGCAATCACTAGGAGGGCGGAAGAAGAAGGACGGGAGGGACGGCTCACCCACTCCACAGCAAAACTGCAGCGATTCCAGTGACGTGAGTTGCTCTTTGTAGTGATGTGAGTTCCTCCTTCTAGTGATGTGAGTTCCTCTTTATAGTGATGCGAGTTCCTCTTTGTAATGATGTGCGTTCCTCTCTGTAATGATGAGAGTCGGAAGAAGCTTTTGAAGCAGCAGAAGCCCATGCCCCCATGCAGGTTACATGCCATGCCAACCTCTGCAGCACTCCGAGTCATCGGCCCAACCCCAGGGGGGCACAGCAGAGGAGACAGGAGATTTTGACAGGAGAATGGAGCAGAGATTATGACCCATGCTACATTCCCCTTTGCCTCATCCCCTGTGCAGGTTCCATGCCATTCGAGCCAGTGCAGCGGCGCTCTGAGACATCGGCCCAACTCCAGGGAGATAGAGCAGGCGCAGCACAGCAGGACGGCAGATACCAGCACAGGTTCTCATCCGTACCTTCCGTGCCATCCCGTACCCATTCCTCCCTGCCTCCATGGCCCTGCTTCCTGCCCCGTGCTCCTTGCAGGTTCCATGCCACGCCAGCCTCTGCGGTGGACCAAGTCGTCCGCCCAACCCCAGGGACGCACAGCAGCCACAGGCACAGATGCAGAGGAGGACAACAATACCTGCACAGGTGGAGCAGCAGCCCCTCTGACTCATGCCCGATTTCCCCATGCCTCATGCCCGATTTCCCCATGCCTCATGCCCATTCCGGCTTGCTCCGTGCAGGTTCCGTGCCATGCCAGCCTCTGCGGCGCTCCGAGTCGGCGACCCAGCCCCAGGGACGCACAGCAGCAACAGCAGAGGAGGACAGCAATGCCAGCACAGGTGCAGCAGCAGCAGCAGCACCCTCTGCAACCGCAGCAACTGCAGCAGCTGCAGCAGACGCAGCAGCCACATCAGGCACAGCATACACAGCAGCACGTGTATACACAGCATACATTGCAGCAGCAAATGCCCCAGCACCTGCTGCTACAGCCCACACAGCAGCCACAGCAGACACAGGACGTGTTACAGCATACACTGCAGCAGCATATGCCCCAGCAGGCGCTGCTACAGCCGCAGGTGTCGCCACATCATCCACAGGTGTTGCCACATCAGTTACAGTGTTACTCGGTGCAACCTGCAGCTGAATACTGGCCCAGGTAGGAAAGTATAACCACCGTACATAATATCGTATCGTCTTTTGTTGTATTAACCTGTTGTATCCATATGTGTAGATTGGGTTGGGTGGGAGTGGGGCTGGGATTGCGGAGGGGCATCCACTGCAATGTATGCGGTAATAAGGAGGTGAAGCTCCTCCAACCAAACCAACCCATGCTCAGTGTTACATGTTGAGGACCACTGTAAGGAATTTTCCATTCCTTAGCGCGCCACACCGCTAACGCGTACCCCAACCCCACACGGCACGAACACCTGCCCTAGCTTCGGCACGTACCGTACACGCCACGCCGAACAATTTCGCGTCACTCCGAAGCGTTCCGCGTCCTCGGATGCCTTCGTCGACCCTGGTCGATCACGGCTAGGATTGCTCCGGTGTTCCTATATCTTGCTTCATCATTCCATTGTACGACATTCCGTTATTTTGAACCTCGACATTTGACTCCGCGCTACTCTAGTGAAACACTCATAACATCTGGTATTCTAGTGAAAAACTTTTTTTGGGGGGGGGGGGGGGGGGCAGTGATTCACTCACTGAGCTGCAAAGCGGTCAGCCGCGAATTAGACGAATTCATTCGCCTGACTACGATAGCGTTTGCGCTCCTACCTGATCACGGGTGATTACGAATATTCCCCTGCCCACCCGACGTAGTGTCCGCCACATGGACCAGGCACAGTTCGACGAGCTACTGGCTCGCCGCCACGGACGCTCGCCTGCAAGCTGTGTTAAACGACAACAAGAAACTTCCTGCCGAAGTTACCGAGCTTCGCCAGGCGCAAGAGACTACGCGCTAGAAGTCGCCCGCCCCTGAGGGCGCCGCCAGCACTGGACGTATCGAAACAGTATTGGACAAAATTGCACGCGAAGTGTCGCAGGAGTGCCGTGATGATGAAGCTGAAAGCAACAACGAATGCCACCGCACGTGCCACGGCAATTCCAGCAGCTGCGACAACGGCCGCCGCCCGCTCTGAAGCATACCAACTGTACCAGTGGCCAAGATAAAGCCGCCGATGCTGCCCCCTTTTAACCCCATAGACAAAAACACCACCATGACAGTCTGGCTTTTCGCGATGGAGCTTTATTTTGACGCTGTCGGGATTACTGTTGATGATTTAAAAATCAAACTGTTTGTTTCACTACTGAGGGGACCTGCACTGGATTGGTGGCGATTGACGCTAAGTGAGACGGGGACTTCGGCAAGGAACACTCGGGTTTTTCGGGAGTTCAGAATCTGCTGCTTGGGACGCAACGTCAATTTTCGGAGCGACCAAGATTCGCACGTGGAAAGCTGGACACCTGACGTCAGTTGACCTCTGTCCAGGATTAAGCGTCATCATTTCAAGCACTGTGTGGCCAATTTAGTGACCTATCAGAAGCCGAGAAAAATAACTGGTTCATCGTGGGGCTCAAATCCGACGTTCGTTACGAACTGAGGATGCGACGCTTAGCGACATTCTAGGAAGTAGTGGTGATCGCCGACCTGTATGACGCCAATAAAACATACGCGAGATCGGGTTTCCGGAAGGGAAATAGTTTTCGTGGCCAGGACCAACGGCCCTCGATCAACGGCATCGTGGCGAACGACGAAGATCACAGGAAGCGACGGTGTTTTCACTGCCACCAGCCGCGTCACCGATATGCTGACTGCCCTGACTGGAAGCAAAGGAAAAACAACGATGGGGATAAGCCGGGAAACGACTCCTGTCAGTAGCAAACGGCCCCCCTACTAACACGGTTGCATCGCCCGAGAAACAGCATCTCCACCGGGTAGTGGTACCGGTACATACTATCGACCGCTCTCGGACGAATAACGGGGATGAACCTGTGGGTTACCCTATGCTGGTAGAAGGAAGGGTTAACGACAAAAAATAAAAAAATCTTCATCGATGGTGGTGCGAGCCACAACCTGATTCACCGACCGACGGCGAAAATATTGAGCTTACCCCTAGAGCGGTGTCTGCCTGAGATTGATGTCCGATTGGTCGATGACACCCCGCTGGTGATACGAAATCGCGTGCGAACAGTTCGTTTGAAGTGTGGTGACAGTCTCGGTTTCAGCGCGCCGATGCTGGCGACGACACTCGACGGCTATGATGTGCTGTTGGGACGAGATTGGCTTCGGCGACAAAACCCGTGGATCGATTCGACGACAGGTGAGTGATGAGTCAAGTGTGTGAATGGTCGGCAGATACTGCCAAAATGGCAAGGAGAAGAGCCGACAACGACACGCGTGAACGCCATCACGCTGACACGCGCGGTCAAGAAAGGCGCGGAATTGTACGCCGTCCATCTGAAGGAATCAACGGACGACAATCAACTGGCCCACATTGATAAGCTCTGCGCTTATGATCCTTGAAGATCTGGCTAAACTCATTCATCAGTTCCCATATATTTTTCCGGATGACCTACCACCTGGCCTACCACCAGAACGCCCTCAGGACCATTGGATCGAATTCGAACTTGGCGCGCAACCAACTGTCCGAATGCAGAGGCGGCTAACGCAGCCCGAGCTTTAGGAATTACGGGACCAGCTGGACTACTTGCTGGCCAAGGGGTTCGTTTAACCGAGCACGTCCCCGTTTGCCGCCCCGATCCTGTTCACACCCAAGAAAGATGGGGGCCTCCGAATGTGCATCGATAACCGCGCCCTTAATTGGGTTACGATAAAATCTTACTACCCAATCCCGCGTGCGGACGAACTGATTAACCAGCTTCGAGGCGCTGGCTATTTCTCGAAGATCGACCTTCGCGGCGGTTACCACCAGATTCGAGTCTTCGCCAACGATTGCCACAAGAACGCGTTTCGTACTCACTACGGGAGTTACGAATACATTGTAATGCCGTTCGGGTTAACGAATGCCCCCTCGACATTCCAGCTGACGATGAACGAGATATTCCGGGATCTACTTGATAAATGTGTGATAATTTATCTGGAGGATATGTTGATTTAAGAGCACGACACGGGAGTAGCACTTAAAGGACCTGGAAGCGGTTTTTTAAAGCCTGCTGCAGAATCGTCTCATCACCAAAGGCTCTACAGTGACGGAAATATGTGGGCCTATTAATCCACTGCAGTACATAGACTTAGTCATTTTGGCCGGATATGTTGTCATAACCCAACCATAACATATTACATACTGTGCCCCTTGACGTCACTTAGTGCTTGGTGAATGTGGTTGTTGGTGTGGCATTATAAACATGCCCTTTCAGGCTGCATGGCATGTGCTCTTCTTGCTCAGGAAGCATTATACTAGTATATTAAAGCCCCCTCTTTTTAGACTCTGTATGAAAAATACACACGCATTTTAGCCTCTCAAAGGGTCAAGACATGGACAGTTTTTTCCGTCACTGTAAGTGCGAGTTCTTAAAACCCAAACTGGAGTTTTTGGGGCACGTTATTTCGACGGAAGGCGTGAAAATTGACCCCCGCAAAATTCGGGCAATTCAGGAATGGAAGCCGCCGACCAACCTCCACGAGCTGCAATCGTTTTTGGGGTTCGTCAATTACGTGCGCCGGTTTATCCCCAACATGGCGGGGTTAATTGGAGCACTAGCTAACCTATTTCATAAGGGCACCGATTATCAGTGGGGGGAGAAGCAGCAAGCTGCGTTTGATGGATTAAAAAATGTTTTAATTTCGCCACCAGTACTTGGGATTGCTAACCCAGAACGCCAATTCGAGGTCGTAACAGGCGCAAGTGACATCGTAAGCGGACCAGTTCTGCTACAGGATTTTGGCGACGACCTTCAGCCAATCGCGTACGAGTCGCGAAAGTTACAATCGACCGAACGAAACTATCGCGTACATGACAAAGAAATGTCGGCGATCGTGCACGCGTTCAAGATCTGGCCATGCTACCTGACGAGAGCCGGCGTGACTGTATGAACACATCACAAATCCCTACAGTACCTACGCACGCAGCCGAATCTCAACCCGCGGCATATTCGCTAATTGGATTATCTAGAGTCGAACTTCACGTACCGAATCACGTGTAATAAGGGTGCCAACAACATTGCTGACGCCCTCTTCAGACCATCTGCCCAAACCGTCGCTATACTAATAGCCCAGACGAACCCGTTGGTGAGCGGAATATTTACCCACGGATGTTCGACCGATCCCTTTTTCGTAAACAACGGCCACCAACAAGTGACGACTGCGCGGGGAGCCTATTACGTAAAAGCGGGAACGAAACGAATTTGGGTTCCGAGTTATCGTCTACTTCGCGAATTACTAATTCAAGAAGTCCATGATTCGAACTTATCGAGACATTTTGGGGTTGACAACACTCTGAAGGCACTGCAACGGTTTTATTATTGGTCGAACATGATGTCGGACCTTCAAAAATATATGGGCGTGTGTCCGACCTGCCAGACGATGAAATCATCACGCCAACGGTCAGCAGGACCGTTGCAGCCCCTCGAGCCACCCCAACGACTGTGGCAACACGTGACGATGGATTTTGTCACCGGCCTGCCGGCCGGACCAAGTGGAAATGACGCGGTCCTTGTCGTCGCCGACCGCCTCATGAAAACGACTCATTTCACGCCATGTCGCACGATGATCACAGCCGAAGAAACCGCGCGCATGTTCATCTCGCTCGTCGTTCGCCTGTATGGTATCCCTACGGCGATCATCAGCGACAGAGACCCAAAATTTACCTCACGCTTCTGGCAAGACACGTGGAACCGATATGACACCCGCCTACAGTTCTCATCCGCCTATCACCCGCAAACCGACGGACAGGCAGAACGGACGAATCAGACTATGGAACAGTTGATTCGCACGAACTGCCCGGATTTCAGCAAATGGGAAGATTCGCTACCCATGCTCGAGTTTTCCTACAATAATGCACCCTCCGCCACGAACAATTATTCGCCCTTTTTTCTGAATTACAAGATGGATCCGACAGTACCCATCTCCACCAACGTCGAAAGCCAAGTCCCCCACTCGCAGCAGTTTGTCGAATACCTCAAACCGCCTGCACGAAAGCCATCGAATTTATCTGAAAAGCCAATGTCACTGCCCGCCAATACGCCGACCGCCAAAGACGAGATATTACATTGACTGTAGGGAAATTAGTCCTCCTCGACACCAAAAATCTTGGCATGCAGATACCATCAAAACGTCGACCCCGGTACTGTGAACATTTCAAAACCATCAAGATGGTAACCCAAGTGACCGCCCAACTCCGCCTGCCCGACGACTGGCAAATTCATGATTCCTTCCACGTCAACCTCTTTCATCCTTTTGTTGCCGACGCGTCAAATGTCGCCCGACAGCCGATCGCCCAGGATCTACGGCCAGCCGAGGAGACGCTCATCGAACCAGCAAATATCCTGATGTTACAATACTAAAATAGAAGAGGCGCCATGAATGACGAGAGGTTTAGGTGCTAAGAAAAATATCGAGAGAGAAGAGGATGAGATTAGAAGAGAGGGATACAAGAAGGGGGGTTGTCCTCTCTACAATAGGATCCAGTAACACATACCAAGCCTACAATTATATATATATAATATATAATTTAACATATCCACTAGGCTTGGTAGTCACAACCCCACCCCACATGCAACACCTCTAAACCTAGCACCCCCATACCCTGCAGCAGAGGTGACTGCATGGAAGCAAGGCGCTAGGCATCCTTGAGCTGCGGCGGGGCGGAGCCAGCTGGCATGGCGAGCTGGGACCGACGCTGTAAGCTAAGACCGACGCGGTGAGCTGGGTCCGCTGGGACCGACGCGGTGAGCTGGGTCCGACGCGGCGAGCAGGGTCCGACACGACGAGCTAGGGAGGCGCGGCGAGCTGGAGTGCGGGCTTGCTGCCTGGTGCCTAAACCAGTGCGCGGCTCACTGCCATCCGTGCGCTGACGCGACGACGACGGCACGGCGGCACGACGAAGCCGCCACGTCGAGGCTGCCACGGCAGCACGACAAAGCCGCCATGGCAGCACGACACGGCCACCACAGCGGCGCGGATGTAACGAGAAGGGGGGGGTATGCGGCGGAAGCGTGAGGAGGCGCCCCAGCAGGGCGGACCGCCGGCTCTGATACCATGTTAGAATACTAGAATAGAAGAGGCGCCATGAATGGCGAGAGGTTTAGGTGCTAAGAAAAATATTGAGAGAGCAGAGGATGAGATTAGAAGAGAGAGGGATACAAGACGGGGGGTTGTCCCCTCTATAGTAGGATCCAATAACACATACCAAGCCTACAATTATGTATATAATATATATAATTTAACACCTGAGCCATCGCGTAAGGATCAATGACAAGTTGACTTTCTGATACGATGGACTCATCGTACCAGCGAAGACGGCACGTGGGTTCCCTCGGTACAAGTACAATAACCTACCGTACTCTGGGACTATCGCGTAAGCACGTCGCAAATATAGACCACCTTCGCTAGAGGGGGGGTAGTGTAATAAATTTTCCATTCCTTAATGCGCCACACCGCTAATGCGTACCCCAACCCCACACGGCACGAACAACTGCCCTAGCTTCGGCCCGTACACACCATGCCGAACCATTCCGCTTCACTCTGAAGCGTTCTGCATCCTCGGATGCCTTTGTTGACCCTATTCGATCACACAGCTAGGATTGCTCCGGTGTTCCTATATCTTGCTTCATCATTCCATTGTACGACATTCTGTTATTCTGAACCTCGACATTCGATTCCGCGCTACTCTGGTGAAACTCTCATAACAACCACTCTAAGCACACGACCAACACTTGGGATGGCCGAGTCCCTTGTTGCGGTTGAAGCAATTGTGGCAGTTAATGTTTCACGCCTCATGCATCTGTCAGGAGGTCCCATGATAAAGCAGGCCTATGCCAAACCACGACGGAGTTAATGTGACAGCCTGAGACATGCGCTATGCGACACGCCACAAATATATGGATTTTCCAGCTGTACGAAATACAGGTAACTACCTGGATTTTATCCAGTTGCAAACACATATCTTTCAACATCCACAAGGAATAGAGGAAGTTTAGGTTGCTTTTACATGTCCAAATAACATGTGCAACCTATACCATAGCCTTGTACATTATTTTGGATTCTGTTGCCCAGTTCAACCATGCTGAGTGTTCAGACTGTGCTCATTTCGAGTCCAGCTGAGCCACGCCCTTATCGCGAACGAGTCCAGCATCACCGTTGCCATCTGTCAACGCGAAACCTTTTCGGTGGCCTGCCGGTTTCAGAACGCAGCCTGCCCAACCGCCACTGCAGGTCAAACGTAATGGCCACGTGGCCTGCCCGACCGCCAAACCAAACCTCGTGGGAAATCGTCGGGGGTCAAAATTCGCGGCCCGAAACAGGGTGAATAAATTCCAACATTTCCAACATTTGCCACAACTCCCAAAGCCAACACAAACAAGTAAATCCAATTCGAGGCAAAGCTCTGCTCCCTCTGCTCCGCTCTGCTCTCCCCTTCCATCACTCGAAGAGCGTCCTCCCAGCATATCAAAATGGCGCGTTCGTTTCCTCGCGCTGCTTTGGCTCTTCTCCTCGTCGTCGCACTCGCAGGTGTGCAACTCTTTGCCCAAGTCTCAGATTCCTGGTTTCCCGTTCAATTCCCTCTCCCCAGCCTCTGTTTCCCGCCAAGCATCAGCACCTGTGTTATCTAAGATTGAATCATCAAGGCTAAATTTTTGGAGTCCCATAAAGCTCCTTGGAAGCGCCTCGATCACTAACCCTAATACTCCTTTGCCTGTGCTCTCTCTGTGTCCGCCCATATCTCCTTTGCTTCAGCAGTTCTCACCCCATCTGCCCTCGCTCGTACCGGGCTTGGAATCAGCTCCAAGATTCTGGGTGAGTGTCATCTCTTCAGAAACAGAGCCCCTTTATAAAAAAAACCTGCAAACTACAAGATCAAATGTTTTTTACTACCGGTACAACAGGATTTTTTTACACCCAACTTCCCAACTTCATTTTGTATTTTGTTTTCGTTTTCCCCACCAGCTTCTCTCCGTGGGACGCTCAACACTTGTGGTGGAAGAGGGGCTGACGTCAGATCCGACACTAACGGCATTGCGGACATCAGGATTCTCAGAAGGTACCTCCAACTTCTCATTTTCCCTCATCGCACCAAAATGCATCGCCTATTTAATGCCATCGCCTCAGGCTTCTCTGCTTTTCTCCCTCCCCACTTCTACCCTGCTAATTCTCTCTCCATCTCCCTCCCCCTCCCCCCTCACATCAACCCCCAGGGGCACCTCTGTGTACCTTGCCTACAAGATCACAGCGCAAGGCATCGCCCAGCCGCCCTCCTCCCCCCCAGCCATCCTCACTCGCAACCCCTGCACCATCCCCTCCCTCTCCTCCACTCTCGGAGCCGCAGCTGATGTGGGTGCCAAAGCGGCTGCCGGCACAGGTTCGGATAGCGCCCAAGCCAGTCTTGGGGGTTCGCCAAGCCTTAATGCGGTTCCTGCTGGATTTGTTTCGGATGTGGCCGGAGCTGTTTCTGGTGTGGGGAGGGCAGCGGGGAGTGTGGCAGGCTCGGCAGGGAAGGCTGCAGGTTCAGCAGCAGGTTTGGTGGGTAATGTTGCAGGCTCGGCGGTAGGCACAGCAGGGAAGGCAGCAGGATCTGCAGGGATCCTTGCAGGTTCGGCAGCAGGCTTGGTGGCAAATGCAGCAGGCTCCGCTGCAGGCTTGGTGGGCAACACCGCAGGCTCGGCAGTAGGCACTGCAGGAAAGGTGGTAGGTTCCGCAGGGAATCTCGCAGGTTCGGCAGCAGGCTTGGCATCCAGCCTTACAGGTTCGGCAGTTGGCACTGCAGGGAAGACAGCAGGTTCGGCAGCAGGCTTGGTTGGCACTGCTGCAGGCTCCACTGTTGGCACTGCAGGCAAGGTAGCAGGCACAGCAGGGAACCTTGCAGGCTTGGCAACAGGCTTGGTGGGAAATACTGCAGGTTGGGCCACTGGCACTGCAGGTAATGCTGCAGGTTCGGCAGCCGGCTTGGTGGCCAACATTGCAGGCCCAGCAATCAGCACCGCAGGCAAGGCAGCAGGCTCGGTGGCCAATTTGGCAGGTTCGGTGGCTGGCTCAGTTGCTGGTTCGGTGCCTCCAGTCCTGACCCCTCTGGTGGTTCTGCCAGGTGCTTGGGTGGCTGCCGCAGCAAATGTGAACACAGGAGCCAACGCTGCTGCTACTGCTACTGCTAGGGTGCTCTCCCTGGTGGGGGAGACTAGGCTCAGTGCTGCTCTCGCCTCCTCTCTGCTCGCCCGCATCTCCTCCTCCACGCCCCTCCCTCTCTTCCTCCGCCTTGACGATCAGCAGGACCTCGTTGCTACGCTGCTGCAGTAGGAGAGGCACGAGTGGCGGTACAGAGAGGGCTGGCTGGTTGAGAGATCATAGGAGGGTGGGAGGGATGTTTGGCGAGGGTGGAGGGGAGGGATGGCGGTGGCGGTGGCGGTGATACGATGCATGGCACTTTGGGTGATATTGTAACACTGCCGCCATTCCTCCCCCCTAACCTCAGAGAAGTTATGGTTCAAGGTGCCTGATTGTATGACTCGTTGTACTTGATGTATGTAGTGTACCTTGTCATGGGAAGCTTGACGTTGAGAGAGTGCTTCGAAGGCAAGGCGTGCTGTGGACACTGGTAAAATTCATCAATTTCAGTGCACTGCTATGTCTAATGATAATCATGGACATGGTAACCACTGGAGTGCATTCAATGGTAAAGAATACGATGCATCGTCTTCAGATAAAGAATACCATGCATCATCTTCAGCTAAAGAATACCATGCATCATCTTCAGATAAAGAATATCATGCATCATCTTCAGATAAAGAATACCATGGACGAAGCATGCATGTGATGAGACATGCATGGGATGAGGCATGCATGTGATGAGGCAGGCAGCACCCCAGTGCCCCAGTGCACCAGCGCCCCAGCGCACGAGTGCTTGAGTGCACCAGTGCCCCAGTGGCCCAAAGCCCCAGTGCCCCAGCGCCACCAGGTCTCAGAAGAACCGCTGGGGTCTGAGCCCCCGACCCACCCTCAACAAACGATCACCAACGCTCAAGCCACCAGAGCCTGGGGTCTGGGCCTTGCTGTGTCTCACCAAGGCTTGGGTTCTGAGCCCCACTCCCTGCCACATCGAATATTTGGGGTGTAAGTCACCATCTCTTGACTCACCTTGTAACTCACGGTCTAAAATCTCCGAGAAACTTGCCTCATGGCCGAGTAACTCGCCTCGTGGCCGAGCAACTCGCCTCGTGGCCGAGCAACTCGCCCCGTGGCCGAGCAACTCGCCCCGTGGCCGAGCAACTCGCCCCGTGGCCGAGCAACTCGCCCCGTGGCCGAGCAACTCGCCCCGTGGCCTAGCAACTCGCCCCGTGGCCGAGCAACTCGCCTCGTCGCCGAGGAGCAACTCGCCTCATGGCCGAGCAACTCCCCTCATGGCCGAGCAACTCGCCTCATGGCCGAGCAACTCGCCTCATGGCCGAGCAACTCGCCCCATAGCCGAGTCATTCGCCTCATAGCCGAGTAACTCGCCCCATGGCCGAGTATCTCGCTTCATGGCCGAGTAAGTCGCCTCATGGCCTCATGGTTCCAAACCTTTCTATTCCTCTCGCTCTCTACTAACTCTGGCCGCTGCAGCTCCCTCCGTTGCGCCTCAGTATTTTTCACCGGAAGGTTTCCATTCAACCAACAGCTCCCTCTATCATTCCACCCACAGGTTTTGTGGCCCCCTTCCTCCAGCGTTTTGAGGCCCCCTTTCTCCTCTCCCTCTGACTCCCTCTGACCCAACCAACTTACTCTGGTGGTTGCGGCTCTCATTCGATGCCCTTCAACCAACTGACCCTTGTGCTTGCTGCAGCCACCCTCCATTGTCCCTCACTCAATCTTTCCTGGGGGGTTTCAGGCCCCCTTCCCCTCTCCCTCTAATTCAACTCGCCTTACCGCGCTGCTCATAGCCCCCATTCGGTGCCCCTCACCCAACTGACCCTTGTGCTTGCCGCAGCCTCCCTCGATGCAGACCCCCTTCGGTGTCCTCACTAACATTCCCTCTTCCCTCTAACTCAACTTACCCTGGGGGTTTCAGGCCCCCTTCCCTCCTCCCACTTACTGACCTTACTCTTGCGCTTGCTGCAGCCCCCCTTCTTAATCTGAGAATTGAAGGACCCAGTTCTCCTCCCCTTACCCTGCCCCTCACTAGCCTTACCCTGAGAGTTGAAGGACCCAGTTCTCCTCCCCCGCTCACTCACCTTACCCTGGGGATTCTTACACAACTTAAAGGACACAACTGGGGATTGAAGGACACAACTTACCCTGCCCCTCACTAGCCTTACCCTGAGAATTGAAGGACCCAGTTCTCCTCCCCCGCTCACTCACCTTACCCTGGGGTATCTTACACAATTTACCCTGGGGTGTCAGGCCCCCTTTCTCTCGCTCACCAAGCCCTGGGCTGGGAGTTTGAGGCCCCCTCTCAACACTTTTGCAAGGGTTAGACCAACGAGCCCACACGATAGGGCTTATGGCATCAGGCAACACGTGGGGCATCATCATTTGCTGCCCATCATGTGGAGATCTAGGCTCACCCATAGAGCTCAACCCTTCCCTTCTACTCACCCACCTCAGGGGTTTCAGCCCCCTGCCCTCCTCACCCACTCAAAAACCCCTGGGGGTTTCAGCTCACCTTGGCTTAACCCCTGGGGGCATCAACCCGTAGGACCAAGCGCTAGGGGGATTCCAGCCCCCTAAAGGAAATGTACGGGCAGAGGATAGTGTAAGGATGGAGAGGGGTAGAAGTAGAGAGGGGGGTGGTAGCTCCGAGGTAACACAAGGGCAAGACATGGGAGGAGGGCTGAAACTCTCAGGGTAAGGCGATTGAAAGGCAAGAAAGGGAGTTTAAAATACCCAGGTTAAGGCGAACTAAAAGCAGAGGGGGGGGTCCCCTGCCCCTAGCTCGCCTTAACCTGCGGGTTACAACCCCCCCTCCCGCCCTGCCCCTCGCTAGCCTTACCCTGAGGATTGTAGGACCCAGTTCTCCTCCCCCGCTCACTCAACCCCCCCTCCCGCCCTGCCCCTCGCTAGCCTTACCCTGAGGATTGTAGGACCCAGTTCTCCTCCCCCGCTCACTCAACCCCCCCTCCCCCCCTGCCCCTCACTAGCCTTTCCGTGGGAGATTCAATCCATCTCCCCTGCCTTGCCCCTGTCTTGCATCTTCCCCCCTCTCCCCACGCCCCCCTCCCGTCCCCAGGGGGTTTCAGGCCCCCTTTCTCCTCTCCCTCTCACTCAACTTACAGTTGTGCAGACGCCCTCCTTTGCCCCTCCTTTGACTTACACTAGAGGTTTCAGCCCCCTCACTCAACCACCCAGGGGGGTTCATGTTAGAGATAGGCTGCAATTCGGTTGGCACAACTTTGTGTTGGCAATTTGTTGGTTTTAGGGATACGCATATTTGTTAGGTTGGATGTAGCTATGTTTTCATCCCCAACCTATCCCAACCCAATCCATCCCAAATCCTCACGATTTGGGAGGATTCCCTTGGGATTACCTCCGATTCTCTCTTATCCCTTCCCATCCTCTCCAATGCTTGGTACTTAAGGATGTATGCTCTTGCTCATTCTATCAATGAAGTTCTCAGTTTCTGATAGTTCAGGCCCCCTTTCCCTCACCCACAACTTACAGCAGCATCTGCAGACGCCCTCCTTTGCCCGTTCCTTGACTTCGATTGCTGGTCTCGCCCCCCTCAGTCAACCACCCAGGGGGTTTCAGCCCCCTCACTCAACCAGCCAGGGGGTTACAGCCCCCTCACTCAACCACCCAGGGGGTTTCAGCCCCCTCACTCAACCACCCAGGGGTTAACAGCCCCCTCACTCAACCACCCAGGGGGCTTCATCCCCCTCACTCAACCACCCAGGGGGTTTCAGCCCCCACCACCCAGAGGGTTTCAGCCCCCTCACTCAACCACCCAGGGAGTTGCACCCCCTCACTCAACCACCTAGGAGGTTACAGCCCCCTCACCTCACTCAACCACCCAGGGGGTTTTCAGCCCCCTCACTCAACCACCGAGGGGGTTTCAGCCCCCTCACTCAATCACCGAGGGGGTTTCATCCCCCTCACTCAACCACCCAGGGGGTTTCAGCCCCCTCACTCAACCACTCAGGGGGCTTAATCCCCCTCACTCAACCACCCAGGGGGCTTCAGCCCCCTCACTCAACCACCCAGGGGGTTACAGCCCCCTCACTCAACCACCCAGGGGGCTTCATCCCCAACACTCAACCACCCAGGGGGTTTCAGCCCCCTCACTCAACCACCCAGGGGGTTTCAACCCCCTTACTCAACCACCAAGGGAAGGGGTTTCATCCACCCCACTCAACCACCCAGGGGGTGTCAGCCCCCTCAGTCAACCACCCAGGGGGTTTCACCCCCTCTTTCCCTCTCACTCAACGTACAGTGATGGTTGGGGACGCCCTTCTTTATCCATCAAACAACTCACCTTGCAAGTTTCAGCCCCACCCGCCATCCCACTTACCATTCCCATCCCCACCTCCCCCTCCCCAACCCACCTTCCCCCTCCCAGCACTAGGAGCAGCATGCAACCCACGCCCCTTCGGAAACAGCACCCCCCCCATGGCTGTGCCTTGCTGTCAAAGCGTGGCAGTGGGAAATGCACGGGCGGCCCAAGACTCAAATCCCGCCACATCCAGCATCGTAGGAGGGGACTCCCAACCAGAGCCGGCGCGCGCGGCACTGACCGGTTCCATTATACGATATGCCCTAGTGGTGTAACTTGAGGAACGACTGCCGTGCCACACACTTTCCACCGACCACACCTGACCAACAAGGCAGGCACCACAGAGGGAGCTTCCCTTAAGGGAGTGAGCTGCATGCTTGCTCCTCAGGGTGAAGGGTAATTGGGAGAAGAGAGGAGAGGAGGTGAGAGGAGGGGGTGGGCTCAATTCTCCTGCCCTTGCTCCAAGGCTCCCGATCCACATGCTGTAGGAAGGAGGGGGGGGAGAGGTGAGACGACCATACCTGTACCTGATACCGTACCTCGCTCTCTCACTCCTAACCCTAGCCTGCCTGCTACCCACCCACCCCCAACTACTGCTGCTGCTGCCGCCTCTGGTTCTGCTGCTGTCTGCTTCTCAGCTTCCTCTCTGACAATCTTCAAGTGATGCCACGTCACCTGTTGGGGGCAGAAAGGGCAGGCAGACAGGAGATAAGTTAGAGCCGGGAAACCAAGGGAGCCGGAAAGACAGTGAAACAGAGAAACAGAGAGCAAGGAATGCACGAACCAGAAAGGGAGTGAAAGACGGGAGTATGCAGAGGCAAGTGGGGTTGGAGACAAGAGGCTTACCTTGAGAGGCCAACCCCACCCCAGATACTCTCCCTCATGGCAGCATTCCTCCCGGCTTCCGCTTCACTCCCCGCCCCCAGAGGCACCTGCACGGCCACAAGGGGAGGGGTGCGGGGGATTGGCGGTGCTGACCCCCACGTCCCTCCCCTCAACCGGCTGGAGGGAAACTGTAGAGCAGTGAGTAAGGCGTGGAGGGTAGTAAGAATGGGAGGTGTGTGCATGGGTG